TGTTTCTAAAAACAAGGAAAAAAAAATAAAATATTATAAATTAAATGAATAACAATTAAAATTCGATATTAAAAAATGATTAAAATTTTTGTACAAATTATTTTACATATACGCACACAAACGGTATCCAATGAAATGAATCCTTCCATTGAACCTGTTCCGTATTGAATCTGTATTTTTCTACCATCCGGCTTATAGGTTGTTGATTTTGTTCCTTTGTATTTATTATGGAATACTGTAAAAAAAAAAAAAAAAAAAAAAAAAACGGCTAAGCTGTTTTTGTCCTTCTTTTCTAATCAGTCAGTCTAACATACAAAATTCAAAATATTATAATGTGAATAATCATTTTTAAACTAAGACAAAATTAGGATATTATTAATTAAGTGTTATCTTTAAATATAATTAACCAAAATAATTAATCAAAATGAAATTTTTTGATTTTTTTTGCATTTTTATTAAGTAATTTATATTTTGTATAATAATCAAACTTACAACATGCAATATCTAAAAAGGGACATTTTACGGATGGTACCCAAAGATTTGATGAACCAGTATCAAAAACAACGCTAAAATTCTGAGGTGGTGTACCAATTGAAATTTCACCATAATATTGAGCCTATAAAATTAACTTTATTCTAGTCAAAAATTAATGAAAATCAGTTAATAAGTTTTTTATTAAATTATTACTCATTTGCTAACATTACATTTTAAAGTTCTAATTATACTTTTAAAAGATTTAAATTTGGATTAAAATTTGAGATGCTTTTATAAAAATTGCTAGTGTAATCATACAATATTCACAATATGCATTTTCTTTGCTCAAAAAGAAAAAAAAAAAAGAAAATTCATAAGAAATAAAGTTAAATTATTGTTAGATATAAAACTTTATATTAATAACACCTACATCCATATAATTTTTTAGCACTTCATCAGTCTCACTTATTGCATTTGGCTCTGAAGTGAAATGCAAATTTAATCCCATTTTTTGCTGAATTTTTTTTCGTTGAATTTGGAAATTAATTAATTTGCTGTATGCTTCCCATGAATCTGTTTCTATCAGATGTTTACGAAGTGAATTCTGCTTGCGTAATGGTATCCTGAAATACATCCCGATAACATTTTTTTTTTTTTTTTTTTTTTTAACAGGACATATAATTTAAAGAAGATAAATTCATAATAATGAAAATTTTTAATGTATTTTTAAACAAAGCGGAAAAAATTTAGGAAATTAAAAATTAAATAAAATTTTAGAGGGAAAAGAACATGAACTTGAAAAATGGAATATTGTTTATGATAGAATGAATGAAAGAATATAATTTGAAATTCGTTCAAGTTCCAAAATTTTTGGTCAGTTTTTTTCTTTAAACCTTTTTTTTTTTTTTTTTTTTGTTTATTTCTGACTTCTTTAAGGATACGTTTAACAATTTTTTCAGCAATTCTTGATGAAATCATTTATTATAAGTATTTGACAGACAAGTTATAGTGTAACTTACGATATTGCTGCAAAGTTGTTATTATGATAAGCTAAGATAAACTTATAATTAATGCATAATAAAATGTTTTAAAAATTTCATTAACATAAAAATATAGTTTTTTTTTTTGGAAAAAAAGAGAAAAAACTGATTGAAATTTTTAACAAATTTGGCAAAAAATCTTCTTTAAAGAAATGAAAAAAAATAAAATATTTTATCAAATTAAATAACAAAAAAAAAACGGCAAATTATTATGATAAATAAAAATAAAAATTCTCAATGTTTGTAATTTTTCAAATAATAAAATTATTATAACCTTGTGAAGTGATTCTGTTGAGTAGCAGTAACAGTTGATAAAGTAATAATTAAAAGATGGATGGATAGAAGTGCTGTTGCAAAAGCTGTAAGCATGTCATGACCCCGTCGGATAGTCACCATTTTCAAAAAGTTGAAGATGGAAGAATGATGATAAAATTGAGAACCTACCTCTCTGTCTCTGTCTCTCTGTCTCTCCCTCTCTCTTTCTTTCTAGAGGATCTCTTGAAACTGTTAGAAAAAGCAGGGTAAAAGGATAGAAGAAAAGAAAGAAAGAGAGAAGGAGGGAAAAAAGAAGAGGGAAAAAGGGGAGTGAGAAAACTGAAAAAAATCATTGGTCGATAATTTAATGATATTACAATTTGATAGCATTGATGTTGTTGATAATGCTGTTAATAATGATAATGATAATGATAATGATAAAAAGTACTTCAATTTTGCAACGACACATAATACATACTGAAATATTGAAATTTAAAAAAAGGAAATGGTGAAAAATTGTGTATTTGTTGCAAATAGTTTTGGATAAAAGTTATTAACATACTTATGTAAATGTTATTTATTATTAACTAAATAATTTTCAAAATCATTTTAATTAGTGACTAACAATTTTGAGCTAATTTTTAGAAGTATATAAGCAAAAAATAATTACAATCGATGTACGGGTCATTGCAATCATTAATCGGAATGTATAACAGGATCTTGAACAGCAATTTGCCCTGAACTAAAATTCTGAATTTCCTGATTTGAATTCATTCGGTGCAGCATTTAGATATTTGTCATTTTGAAAAGAGATGACAATACAATTATTTATCCAAAAATTTTCCAGAAGACTAATGAAGAAGTTTTAATATTGCTCATCCATTTATTGTGTCAATTAATTAATTCATAAATTTTAAATTATTTCCATCGGAAAAATTACTACTTAATAAACTATTAATAATTGAAGTAATTATTAGAAAAGAAATAAAATTTATGAAAAAATAATGTCTTTGTAAAGCAAAATTGAACCGATGATTCATGACTATTTGTTATGTGTACATTTCTTTGTATTATCAAATGAAGTGAGCTGAATTCATTCGTCTTAATTGTCTTGGTAAATAATCTGAACAAATTTAAGCCTTCAACTTTTTTTTTTTTTTTTTTGTGAAATAGAAAAAATTGCAAAAATTAATGACGTGAAAAGATTGGTTTCAAAAAAAAAAAGGAACGAAAAGTTTTAAAAAAAAAGTGAAAAAGATGAAGGCATCAAGAAGAAAAATTGTTGAAATTTTAAATTTCCATATTTAATTGACTTGCAAACTTCTTTTTTACTGCAAAAGTTTGAAATATTTTAATGAAGAGAAAATTCTTAACAAATATTCTATAAACATATAATGAATTGTAATAAAAAAATTTGCTCTATCAAATATATGCAACAATTAATTTTTCCCAATTTCATTAATTTGGTATATTATAATCATTAATATATTTAGTAGTTATTGTAGTCGTTAATTTAGCATTTAAATATTTTATAATTCAAATTGTTTGTTTTACTGAATGCTTATATTTTATCGTTTTGATCACTTATCAAATTATTATTGATTTTAGCGCATATTATCATTTAAATCAATTTTGCTATTTTCGTTCCATTGCTAAATGCAAATCCAAAAAACTGAATAATATGATGAGAAGATAACAAATGAAAATACTAATAATAATAATAATAAATTAATATTAAAATGAAATAATAAAAATATTGATAATGATTTCATCATTTATATTTATATTTCTATTACTGATAACAAAATAATGGAAGTGATAATAATAGCTATGTATTATCATAAAATAACTACAGTAGTAATAGGAAAATGGCAAAAGTGCGATCAGCATTAGTCGTAGAAATCTTAAATTATAAATGAGCTATTTATTATTACTAAAAGTCACAAAAACTCCTCGCGCCCTCTGTGGGACTCGAACCCACGACCCTCAGATTAAAAGTCTGATGCTCTACCAACTGAGCTAAGAAGGCCCCGTTTGTTCCAAAATGTTTTTTTATTTAAAAATGTATGCTAAATGCGTCCATCAATTTTATGATAAAATAAATTTAATTAAATAAAAATTTAACTCAAATAATTGAATTTATTAATTAAAAAATCTATGAAATCAAATCTTTTTTGAAAGATTTTTTTTTTAACACTTTTTTAAACATATTACACGTTTTACACGTAACACACGTTCATTTTTTATTTTCACACATATTATTTTCCTTAAAGTATATTTGTTGCATATAATATTTTATCATATATGCTTATATTTCATATTTTAATTATTTATACGTCTTTTTTCTTTTTTTTTTTTTTTTTTTGTTGATGATATTAAATTTAAATTTATGCTTTATTTTATTGAATCATTTTAATTAGTTTGTTTTTGTTTTTTTAACTTTCTTAAATTATTACTGTTAAAGTAAGATTATATGTTTGAACAAAAGATAGGGATGAATTGATAAATGAAAAGAATGGAATGAATAACAACTGTTAAGTATTAAGTTTACATTAATCTATCTATCCCATCTCAATTCATCTCTTTGTCCATCGATTGGTCGTCAGTCGATTAATGATAAGATTAAGCGATGCTTCAAACATTTGTTGCTGTAATATTGTTAGCATTAGCAATGTGAGAAAGGAGGGAACTAAAAACATTTATATACAATGAATTATTTTTTTTTTTTTAACGGATAATTCCATTTTGTTTTATTTTGTATTTTGTGTTTTACTCATAGAAATCACATAAATTGATCTTTTTATTAGCATTCATTTTAATTCATTTAAAATAAAAGATAAAACTAAGAATTTAATTGTTTAATCATAAAAGTTTAATATTATTCAAAAAGTAAACATTCATCTAATAATTTCAATCATTTAAGTAATTTATACAAAAATATAATACAATTTATTTTTAATTATTTGTTTAGTATAGCAATTTATTTTTTCTACCTGTTTGTTTAGCAATGATATGTTCAGCAATGTTAATATATTTTGTATATTTGATAATGTATCTACAGTGTATCAAATATATTTGCAACGTTTTAATGCTTTTTTTTTTTTTCTTCCTTTAAATTTTGCATTTAAAATAAATTAAATTTTGGTTTAAATTTTTTCAGTGTTACATAAATGTTCAATATTTATTTTCAGTTTTTTGTGGATAATTTTAAATTATTCAAAAATGTTAATAATGCAAACCGCTAATTGTTTCATTCTTTTCTGTGTCATCCTTATTGTTTTGCTTGTCAATTCTGGCAATCCGTTATTAGCAAATGACATTTCCGGTTAGTTTTATTTTTATAATGTGAAATTTAAAAAAAAAAAAAAAAGTTTACAATTAAAAAACTGTTGTTACCAAATTTTTGAACAAAATAAATTTAACATTTCAATTTTACATATGTTTCGGTGTATGCAAAATTCTAATCTTTTGAAAAATTAAAATTTTCTCATTAGCTTTTTAATTTTCATATATTTCTAAAATAATATATAAAAGTTCTAATTCTAGTGTTGCTTGAAACTGCACCAATAATTTAAATAATATTAAATAAAATATGAAATTTTGTAATGTTATATTGTATGAATTTTAATTGATACATTCATTTAAAAAAAACAAAAAAAAAATAAATTAGTTGAATATTTTTAAGTTATGAAAGATGATGGAAGTACATTAAATACAGATAGTGCAGTTTGTATGGCATGCAAAATGACGGTGATATTTTTCAGGTATCTCATATTTTTAATATTAATTTCACTTATCGAAAAAAGTTTTTTTTTTTTTTCAGATGAATAATATACGATTAACTTTTAATACTAAAAATTTTGTTTGCATTAAAAAAGAAAAAGAAAAAGACTGATTAAATAAATAAATGATAAGAATTTGAGAAAAAATAAATGTAATGCAAATAATTTTTCAAAAATATAACATTAATCGATTTGTATGGTAAAGTAATTTTAAAACAAAAATGTAGCATTAAGACATTGGATAATAAAATATAAATTATAGAAAAAAAAAAAAAATTTAATTGATTTAATTGAAAATTTCGTTACTCAAATTAATTCTATTAATTTATAGATCAATATATGAACAGAATCGAACTCGAGATTCATTAATTGATGTTGCAGCATTTATTTGTCAGTACTTTACACGTCGTGAATCATTAATATGCTATAGTTTAGCTAAACAATTTCGGGTATTTCTTTCCCTTCAAATTATTCTCATTAAAAATATTTACCCTTCGTAAGCTATTATATATATTTATGAGACTGATATATGATAGCCATTGGTTATCTTTACAATTAATTTGGAATTAATGTGAAAACGTAATCTTTATTTCCGATTTGCTTATATTTTAACTTTAATTACTAAAAAATAATGCTGTAAATTTTATACAGGTAAATTTTTTAACATATATTAAACATTTTTAAAAATATTAAGGAAAAATTTGCAAAAAATCATTAGAAAATTTAACTTTTTTAAAAAAAAATTTAGGAGGAACTTCTATATGTTGTCGAAAAGTTAATTCTACAACCGGATGCATTATGCTCAATGTTCCTGAATGATTGTTCAAATTCAGGAATGGATACATCAATATGGAATATTACATTACCACCAAAATGGCCAGGTTCAAATTAAAAAAAAAAAAACTCGAAAGTTAATAAATTAAATGTATAAATGATATTTTATATATAGCTTATACACATTTAATTAAAAGTAAACAACTTATTTCTATACGGTATATTGCTTGTTCTTTTTAAAGTTTTTCAAAAAATCTAAATTATTGTCAAAAAATTTTCACTTTCATTTTAACTGCTAATATTTTATAAGAAGTCATATTTACTTTTAATTATTTTGAGTAATTTAGATCCGAAATATCCGACTTATCCGGCTATGAGAGAGAATAATTTACGAGTCTTACACATCACCGATTTACATCTTGATCCAGAATATGCTCCAGGTTCAGAGGCTAATTGTAGCAGTGAACTTTGTTGTCATGCGCAATCCGAATCAAATGGTAATTTCTACATTAATTCTGCAGCTAAATAAATAAGTTTAAATTCAAACACTTAAAATGACATTTGATGAAGGGAAATTTAATTAGTTAATTAGTCAAATCATTCCGTCGAGAATGCAAAACAATGGTGCATTATTCGGATGGCAGCAAAAAAAAAGAAGTCAAAATTTTCAGTTAAAATTTTTTTTTAAAGAACTGGGCTATAATCTAGAATTTTTTTTTTTTCTTGTCATTACAAATTATTCGTTATTGCAGTTAAAAAAAAAAAAAAAAATCACTTCAGGATCAACAATAATGCAGAAATCCGGTTACTGGGGTACTCCTGCTGTATGTGATATACCGTATCGGACAGTGGAAAATATGCTGCAAAATATTCAAAAACTTGGAAAGGTTGTTAATTGGAATTTATTTACTATAATCAAGTGGTAATTATTCATTAGTTTACTGTGATTAGTTGAAGTTTATCATAATTTAACTTCTATTCTTTTTTTTTTCTCTCTTTTTTATTCTCAAACTCTTATTGAAATTTGCAAAAAAAAAAAAAAAACAAACAAAGATTTCATTCTTTATTATTTTATCAATTAATCGAATATCACTTCTTTCTTCTTAAATATGTATTTAACAAATATTCAATAATTAATATTTTTCCTTATCAAACATAATTAAACATAGCATTCATAAATATTAAATGCTTAATTGATGTTGTAATATTTAATGATAATGTTAATTTTTCATATTTTATCAACAATATAATACATAATAGAAATGAATCTGATCATTTTGCAACATTAGTTTCTTTCTATTATTGATATTATCATATCTCACATTGTCATATAGATATGCATAGTATATCATGTAATATTATCATATCAGTGATGATATTTTCATTTTATTATCAGTTTATTAAGAATTTTACGTAACAATATGATTGAATTATTTGCAAATTGTAGATTGATTATATATTGGTGGGTGGTGATTATGAATCACATATGGATTGGACATATACCAAAGAGGATCACTTGAAAACAATTCGAAATCTTTCAGCAGTTTTACATAAATATTTTGAGAATACACCGATCTATTGGACACTGGGTAATCATGAAGGTGTTCCCGTTAATAGGTTTCTTTCTTTTTTTTTGAAAAATAATTATCAAATCTCAATAGCTATGAAAATGGCTAATGCAAGTGTAAGTAATAGAAATATTTTTTCTCTAAAAAAAAAAGTCTTTAAATTGAGTTCATATTTCTATTGTATTTTATCAAAATTTTCTTCATTATTAATAACTGCAAATCATATTTGTGTCTAAATGAGGAAAAGAACAATGCTAAAATATTAAAAAATTAAAATTTTTATTAATTTAAAAAATTGTAAAATTATAAAATGCACAGTTTTGCACCACATTATATCCCGGAGAAGTATCGTCCACAATGGTTATATGACGAATTATTGCTGTTACAAAAACCGTTGCTGCCTGATTTAAAATCAATTGAAAGTGTTAAATAGTGAGTTTTTTGAATTTAAAAATTTATAATATATTAATAAAAAATTTTAAATTTTATTTTATTTTGTTTAAAAAAGAATAGGGAAGAAATAAAAAATTAAATTCTATTTCAAATTTTAGCCGCGGCTGTTACACAGCACAGCTTTATCCTGGATTACGGCTTATATCATTGAATAGTGGTTACTGCGAAACATCCAATTTGTAAGTATAATTTCCAATTTGTAAGTATAATTCATAATTCAACATCCAATTTGTAAGTATAATTCAATTCTCACAAATATATTAGGTATGATTAGTAACAATAATAGTGATAATAATAAAGTGATAATGCTAATTATCTTGATGAAAATACAAAAAATGGTTTTAGGTATGATTAATAACAATGATAGTGATAATAATAAAGTGATAATGTTAATTATCTTGATGAAAATACAAAAAATGGTTGTAATGAGATTGTAAAATTACGATAATAATTAATTGTACTTCTTATGACACAATCATTGTTTATATTTAAAGTTCATATGTTTGTAATATATTCAATGTAATCATAAACCAAATGATTTTATTATCTTAGTTGGTTACGTATCAATGAAACAGACCCGGATGGTACTTTAAGCTGGTTAGTTATGGAACTTAAGCAAGCTGAACATGATGGCCAATATGTTCATATTTTATCACATATACCACCTGGTGATAATGAATGTCTTGAAAGTTGGGCACGAAATTATTATAAGATTATAGCAAGGTTTTGTTTATTTCTGGCTAATTATTAATTTATTTACTTAAGATTGGTAAATTAGTCATCGCATACATTCATTTTTTTTCTTTTAAATAAAAAAATTACTTTTAATTACTGCATTTTATTTTATTCATTTTATAATTCGAAATAAAATTTTATTTCAATTCAATTTTTTTTTTTTGTATATTTTTAGATTTTCAAAAACGATTCAAGCGCAATTTTTTGGCCATATTCATGTGGATAGTTTTACAGTATTTTATGAAAATATGAATGATGATTCATCAAAACCAATTAACGTTCTTTATGCAGCACCGAGTGTGACAACATTCAAGCATCTTAATCCAGCTTTTCGAATTTATGAAATTGAACCTGGCATAAATTATGTTCGTTAATAAAGAAATTAAAAAAAAAAAAAAACCCATTTGAATTAAAATTTTTTGTTTTTTTTTTTATTAATCTTTAATTTTTATCATTTAATTCTTTCTATTGCAGCGTGTAGTCAACTTTCACACTTATTTTTTAAATCTTACAAAAATTGGAATGAATACTACTACTTCACCAGTATGGGAACTATTATATTCAGCAAAGGTAAATATTTACTGAGAGAAAAATTATTGTTAAATTATGATCACATAATTTCTTGATTAAAAATTAAAGTATATGAAAATTTTTAATCTTTTAATATTGATTATTTTTAAACATTAATTTCTAGGAAGAATATGGCTTAAATGATTTGAGTCCAGTAAGCTGGGATCTTTTAATCAACAAAATTATTTACGAAAAATCAATTTACAGTAGATTTGTCAGGTATGACTGGTTTCATTTATTAGATAAATTTTATTACAATAATATTATTGGTTTAATAAATAATTATTTCCAATGATTCACATAGTCACTATATGTAAGATAGAAAATTTTTTTTAGTCTTAAATCTATTTAATTTTAGTTTTAGCTTTACATAATTTCTTAAAAATTCATTTGAAAAAAAATTTTTTGAGAAAAAATCATTTCACTTCAAATTTATTTGTTTGACCTATTAAAGTATATTTATAATTAATGGGTTATTTCAAAATAAAATTTAATATTATAATAATTTCAATGTTCATTACACTACACGAATAAAAAAAAAAAGAAAAAAAAAATCACTTAATTTATCTTTCTTAATTTGTTAATTATAATTTCTTCACAATTTGCGATTTGTTATTTTTAATAATTTATTGATTTCAATGTTCGTTTGTTTTTTTTTTTATTTTCACAATTAAAATGATCGTAATGTAGTTAAATTTCAAATTTTTTTTTTGTTTTTTGTTTTAAATTTATATTTCAACTTTAATTTCAATTTATATCTTTTATTTTCAATTATAGGAATAGTATTCGTCGTGATAATTTTATTTGTGAGAGAAAGTGTCGCTATAATTTGTTGTGTAATTTGCGAAAAGGACATCATAATATGACATTGTGTAACCATTTGCCATTCCCGAGAAATTCGAGAAATTTCAAATCGTATCTGTCCTATAAATTACCCGGAACTGTTGACAATGTTGGTAAAACAACACTTACCATAACGAAACAACAACAACAACAACAATATGCTAATATTAATATGCTATTGAAGAAGAAATTACGATCATACATTTTGAAACGATTTTTTCAATTATTTCTACTTTCTCAAAATTAAATTTTATAGATGAAACATGTTGAAATTAATATCATTCGTATATTTAAATTCAAAATATTATTAGCAAATTAATTTCTATGCTTTTTTTGTGTATGTGTTTTAATTTTGCTTGATTTATTTATTTTTACAGTTTATATCTTTTGTTAAAGATGAGAAATTGATAAACTTCAGCGAACTGAAGTTTTAGTATTAATCGAAATTTATCATTATTTTTCTTTTCAAAATTATCATTTGTTTGTAATAGTTAAGATAACTGCTATAATCTAATATTTATTTCTTCATTATTAGTTGCACTTTTTTAAATTATCTGATTAGAATAAAAACTTTTTCTTATTGTTTACTTCAATGAAATAATACAAAAAGCAGGAATTGAACGATGGAAATAACTGCATAGGCAACATTATATTGCTTTTTTTTTTTTTTTTATCTGTAATTAATTAAAAACTTTATTGTAGTTCGATTTTTTTAGTATAAGCATTGCAAGATATTATACACGATATTTTTGAAGTAGTTAAAATTTTTAATTAGTACTTAAGATTTTGTTTTATACTAAAACTACATTCAATAATTAAACTGCAATTGATATTTTTTTTGTCTTCGTTTGCAAAAACTAAAATTTTATTGCTTAGTTTACTTTTCTAATTAGCCTTACATTCTTTTCTTTTATTTCATTATTCTAACTTTGAACATCAAAAAAGTTGTCTTTGAATTACCATCAAACTAATAAAATCATTTTAAAATTATCTTCAAAATAACAAAAACTATGGAAGTTATTGTTAATTGCAAATATCAACAAATTAAAAATAAATGTGAATTTAGTAAAGTGTGAATAAATATTTATTTCCAAATTAAGAAGAATAAATTATCAAGCCTTAAACAACTTAAAAATCATCATTAAATTATTAAAATTATAGTTTTAGAATAAATTAGTGAATAAGGAAATGTTAGTAGTTAACAAAGTGCTTGTTAAATAAAAATGATAAATAATAAATTTCTATGAGAAAAAATCGATAAATTAACAAAATTATGAATTTAAAAAATTATCTTTAAATTAATAAAATTTCCTAAAAATCCATCATAAAATTTAATATATAAAATTCATATTAATAAAATTTCCATCAAAAAACAATAATAAATAAAATTGATGAATTTATGCCATTTTTTACATATTAAGAATTTACTTTACTAAATAATTGTAATCCATCTCTAAATTATGTTTCTTTCCTAATTCCATTTTAAAATCAATGCAAATTAACGCTGTAATAATGAAGAATCAATTGGGAGAGAGAGAGAGAGAGAGAGAGAAAGGGAGAGAAAGAAAGAGACAAAGAAGAGAACGAAAATGAAGAAGAGGGAGAGAAAGAGAGAAAGAAGCCTTTTACATTCGTTTTAAAAATTTTTTAGCAATCATAGTTTTGGTTAAATTATCAACAACATTATGGAATTTTTCTCCTCTGTTCATTGTAAAGTATTACTATTTAATTACTAAGATATCTTATCAGTCTCTAGCATATCATAATTGCAGTGATAATCACAATAATAATGATAATAATGATTAGACGATAATAATTGCTACCTTGCATAATAATTCTTTCAAATCTTATCAGTCTCTAGCATATCATAATTGCAGTGATAATCACAATAATAATGATAATAATGATTAGACGATAATAATTGCTGTTTTACATAATAATTCTTTCCTTTTACTTTTTTTTTTTTCATCTTTTTTTAGTCGATTGTTTATGTGAATAATAAGAAATTCTTATTAATCTAAACAAGACAAATTTCAAAAATGCACAAAATTCTTTGACAAATAAGAAAGTTTTTGTCAAAAAAATTTTTTGACATTGATTGATATTTTTTTTAGCTGAAGTGAAAATTTTGGTTAATGAAAAATCAATTTAGTTCGAAAGAATGAAAAAGAAAGAAAATAAAACGAAAAAACTTTTAATTGATCATTTTTCAAATAAATACTTTTTTTTTTTTTTTAAATTTTAAGAAAAATCTTCCAAAACATTGCTTCCTCTCATTTCCTTTCATCTTTTCTTTACTCTAGCAATTGCCAGTGTATAGTAATTGCTATTGTTGCAGTAGAACGCTAATGCTAGTAGTAATAGTAATAGTAGTAGCAATAACAGTGACAATGGTATTAGTAATTGTTGTTGTAAGCAGTTGTTGTTGTATTAGTAATTGTTGTTATTGTTGCAATTATTATTATTAGTAGTAGTATTTGTTATTGTTATTTTTATTCTTAAACTTTAAATATATCCAAAAAAATTCTGCATAAATGGATCTAATCTAATTCTATTTTCTAACAAGTAAACTGATAAGGAAATAAGAAATTGATGAAAAAGTATGAAAAGAAAAATAAGAAAGAAATTAGAGTTTTTTAAACAGTAGTATTTAATGAAATTTATTTGCAAAGCTTGTGCAAAAACTTTATGCCAAACTTTATGGCTTGAAAATTTTCCAGCTATTGATATTTCGAATTAAAAAAAAAAATTGGTGTCGTAATATAAAAGTTTTACATCTTTATTATAGTTATTTATTATTATTATTATTTATTAGGTCTATTACTATCACTATTATTAATTTATTATTATTATCATTATTAATATCATCATTTTATTTTGAAATATTCTTGCTCTAAAAGTTTTATTCACTTTCAGTTTAGATATATCAATTTCTGATCTAATTAATTGTTGGTTTCACATGATGAAATAATTTTTTTTCACGTGCTAACATGTCCATTTGAAAATGGCAGCAGATGAAAGAAGTGACATCGTCATGCATCAGCACTTTATCACTTAATTAACTTTTGTATTTGACATTTGGGTTAAATACATAAATGTAATAATTTCTGTATCTATAACTCACATTAAAATGAGTTATTTAATCTAAATTATTTGCTTTTTTTTTTTCACTATTTTGGAATAATATTCAGTATGATTTCAATATGAGATATGTAAATGTTATTCCGTTGAAAAAATAATAAGCATTGCGGGAATATGAAATTATCACTAACAAATTCAAATTGAAAATACTGAAGAACATAATTGGTTAATTGATTAATGATATTGTTGTATTATAATTATAGGAGTGGTAATATTTATTTATTAGTTTAATTTTATTTCACAGCAATTTGAAAGTGCAAATTATTACTATTATCTGTTTAGTGGATTATAAATTTTTCAATTTTTTCTTTTTTATTGTCACTTCTTTTTACAAATTTTTATTCTTCAGTAGTATTATTTTTTCTTTCTTTCTTTCTTGTTTTGATCAAATTACATAAACTTCGAAAAATAATTTAAATCAAATTTTGAGTTAAAAACCAGCTTGATAAATTCTAAATTTTAAAATGAAAAAAGGCAGCAAGAATTTTTCTTCCATTTTTTAAATTTGAAATTGTTTTCGATAAAAAAAAAGAAAAAGAAAGTACCCGATATGTTGGTGTATTTTGAACATACTCAAATATATGTTTATATTATATGGATGGAAATAAATAATCCGTCAAAACATTATTTTGATTGCAATCATTCAGATCAAATAAATTAGGATAGAATTACATAACAATAACAGACTTTTTTGAGCAGTATTAATTGCCCAATTATTTTTGATAGTAATTTCAATTTTACAATTCGCAATTTCACACTACAATCATAATATTTTAAGGTTAGGAATGAAATCATAATGATTATTATATGGAATATTAAACATTTAACAAAAATATCAATAAATTTATTTATTTATGCTTTTCTTTTTCTGAATGTATAATAATTTGCAATCTCTAAAAAATATTATAATTCACTTATTCGAGTGTAATCAGAGTCCATTAGTACGTATATTTTTCATTTGCTAACATTAGTGAAACGTCTATTCGTATGGTTGTAATGCAAAACACAATGTTTTCAATCAGTCTATGATGTCAAATAAAAAGGTATCAGTAAACGTTAATTCTTCTATCAATCAATTTGGATCACTTCAAAATGCTGACCAAGTTTTGGCCGAATTTGGTAAATTTTAAAATTAATTTGTTTCTTAGAATATCTCAGAAAAATAGTGGATGAAAGTTAAAATTTTGCCAGATAAACTATTGATTCGTTTTCGTTCATTTCAGCAAATTTAGTGTTCATTAAGCACACACAAAAAAAAAAAAGTAGAAAGTAATGAAATACTTTAAATGACTAAAAAGTTGGTAAATTAAAATTTTATTCTTCGAGTGAAAATGATATTTGGAATGGAAATTTTATGATTTTTTTTTTTTATCTAATTTATAAAGCTTTAAAGAAATTTTAAAAATTCTCTTCTGTTTTTTTTACAATTATAATTTACAGGTAATTGTCAGCGATATATTTTATTCATCACAACTTTATTATCAATTAACTGGGCAATAGTAGCAATACCAGTAATGCATGGTACATTTATTATTGATGATGAATGCCTTCAAAATATTACTAATTCTGATAAGAATACAGATAATATAAGTATCTGTATGGAAAACTCTCGAACAATAACTCCAATTTCTGAGGTATTATTTGGCATTGAATAAGAGAGTAATCACATTACTGACATATAATCATTTGTGTTACTGCAAAAATTTCTTTTTTTTTTTGATATCATTTAATATATTCAGTTTAATTAATTATTTTACATTATATATTTAATCAAATATTGTTATGCAAAAATGAAATCTAATAGCAATTTGCACAAATGTCATTATATTATTCTGTGAAGAAATGATAGTGGATAATTTATAGTTTAATTTACGCGGTAATCAACGTTACCTAATAGAATGGACCAGTTCAGCATTTATGCTAGGAAATATGATCGGTGCTAGTACTCTTACATATTTATCAGATAAGTAGGTTATTTTTTCATTTATAAAAGTTAATTAAATTTAAAACTTAATTGTAGAAGTTAGAAGATTACTGAATATGAGAATATTACTGGAAAATTTTAATTTTAATCTCATCTTAATTATATAATAGTATATTACAAAATGAAAATTTGCATAAAGGGCATTCTTTTCTGTTTTATATGTTTAAAAATTTATTATCATTTTTCTTTTCCTAGAATTGGACGACGTCCAACTTTAATTTCTAGTCTATTATCGCTTGGAATTATTGGTACATTAATATCATTAGCTGAAAATATTCTTGCATTTATTATTGGACGTTTCATACAAGGTTTCTTCTCGCCGGTTTGCTTTTTAAAAATATTTTGGCCTATAATTTTTGCATGTAAAATACTGGAATGAAAATGATAAATTGTGTGATTGGAGTAATTAATTAGTTGAGTAAAATAATGCTTGAAAAGTAATAGGCCAAAGGAAAAACAAAATTACAATGGAAATATCAGAAAACTGAAGTAAATATCAAATTAATATTTATTTCTTTCTCTACCTATTCAAAAGCTTTTATGTTTTTTCTTTTTTTTTTCCAGGGTGTACTATTAGTTAGTTGGGTACTAAGCTATGAAAACGTGCCAATTGGATTACGTGGTTTTGTCACTTTGATCTATGGTGTAATGTGGGTGGTTGGTTTCTGTGCAGTAGCACCACTTGTTTATTTCATTGCTAATTGGCGATGGTTAATGACTGCATATTCGGTACCTTCTATAGTTTTCGCCGCTATATATTTTTTGTTAGTAATTTTTTTTTCTCTTAAACTTTGATTTAAAAATATGAATTTGGATTGTTTTGAAATATCTTGAGGGTGTTGCGAAAATGATTTAGTATTTAATAAAAATTTTTGAATAATATTAATTGTAGTACTATTCCGGAAAGTCTTCATTTCCTGATAGTCAATGGACGAAAGGAAAGAGCCGCAAAATGGATCCGGAATGCGGAAAAGTATGGAAAAGTTTTGCATAAAAGAAATGTTGATATGATGGTGGAACTACTAGAGAATACGTGTTTGGATGTGAAGGAGCATGAACATAAAACAGAAATGACAGAGAATTTAAGGTTCAATAATTGTTTTGCCTATTGACAAAAAACGAAACAAATTATGAGTAACTGAATGACGAGAAATTAAAAAGACATTTCTCTACCATTATTCTTTTTTTTAAAAAAAAAAAGTAAAAAATGTAATGAATTTATTCATGTAATTAGAATTAAATATTTTTAATCAATTTTTTGCTTGTGGATAAAACTATTAAAAGAAGTAAAGTAGTAAAACAATAAAAAAAAAGATGATTCAGAGATGTTTCTTTCCTTTTTTTTTTTTGTTCTCTTTGATATTTATAAGCTATTTGAAAATCAATAACACAACAATTATTAATTATGATAATAATCATAACTTCAGATCAAATAATTTGATAATAATAATAATTTTAGATCATCACTAATAGAACAGCTAATGGAGCATAAAATCTTTTGTGTTTATACATTCATCCTAATTTTTCTGTGGTAAGTATTTTCATTTTAAACATTCAAATGCTACTGGAACATTTATAAATTTTAAGAAACATTCAATATCGTAATAATTAATATAAATAGTGTCGTAATAAATAATAAATTCATAAGTTATGCTTATTTGGATTTTTCTCAATTTTTAGTGCATAAAACATTGTCTTATTTTAATGTTAATTTATACTGTTAAAAATATTTCAAAAATAATTTTCGAAAATAATAAAATCTTTAGGACTAGTGATACATTTCTCTACTATGGCTTATCGAATTATAGTATTCATTTGCCGGGAAATAAATACTGGAACTATGTATTATCAGGTTTAGCTGAATTACCAGCATATATTACTATACCATATGCTCTTGAAAAGTAATTTCTTGCTTTCCTTCTTTTCTTCCATTTTTACCTTTTAATAGTACAGTAAATGTAATTAATCTGTACAGCAAACTAATTGGATATTAGCAAAACAAAATAAAATTCACTTTTTAAAGAGAAATAATGCAAACTATCATTTTTCTTTTTTTTAAGAGACGGAGGTATTTGTTAGTCATATCATAATTTGACTTTGTTAATATTTGAAATTAAAAATATATAAATATTTGATTTAAATTAAAAAAAAATGATTGTGAAAAATATATACTATGATTTATAGTTTTGGACGTAAACGAATTGTAGCATGTATGCATTTTCTTGTTGGAATATCACATATAATTCTTATATTTTTACCTAACAGTGAGTTATTTCCATAATTGTTATAATTATTAATGAATAATTTTCTTTGTGCTGCAAACAATTTTATAAATAAACGAAACAATTCGTTCATTATTTTTGGTTAATCAATCATTTATAACAATAAAATGAATGAAAAAGTTCATTATTTATCAATAATTATTATAATTAATAAATATTGAATCAATGCATTAAATTGTTTTAGTTTAAAATTTTTTATTTCACTTTCATTATAAACGTTTTGACTATTTAAAAAGAAAGTTATGAAATGAAATAAAATCCTATGTTTTTTTCATTTTTCAGATTTTATTTGGTTATCAGCTTTATGTTGGTTAATATCAAAATTTGGAATTTCATCATCATTTATGTGTATTTATGTTTATGGAAGTGAAATATTTCCTACAACAATGCGCAATGTTTGTTTAGGTTTATGTGCTGTAATTGCAAGATTTGGTGGTGTTATTGCACCGTATGTTATCTTATTGGTTTGTATTCTTTTTTTTTCTCTCTCTCTCTCTCTTTTAAATATCATTTTGTTATTTTTAAGGTTTTTTTTTTAATTAAGTGTACTTAATAATTTCCACTCATTTTTTTTTTCTTTTTTAATTGTAATATACATTTCTGCAGAAAAAAAAAAAAAAAAACAAAAGAAATTTTCAATCTGAATCATTCATTAACAGTTTTATTTAGCTTTTATCACATATTGTTTATCAGTATGACCCATTAAATATTATACTTATGTTATATCCCATTTGTATTAACAAATTATTTATTTAAAAATTATTTTTGAAATTTTTATACTAAAATACTTTAATTTCCTGCAAACATATCATATCTTAACTATTACTATCTCTTTTCATTTATGAATCTTCCAGGGTTCAATGCATGCATTATTACCAACTATTCTTTTTGGACTAATAGCAATAATTACCGGAATTTTAACATGTATTCTACCGGAAACAAAAGAATGCATATTACCATCTTCATTGGATGAAACGGCACAAACAAAATATCATTCATCGAAATCTCCAATATGCCAGGAACAATCGAATCTACCAGCAACATCATCATCAATTAATCAATTTGATTGACAAAACTAATTAGTGAAATAATTGATTTCATGAAATCCAATTGGAAATGATTAGTGTATACTAAAAAATATTTTAATAAAATAATTACAAAAACATAAAAAAAGAATGGTAGAAAGAACTAATATAATTTATTCAATTATATTAGCATACGATATAGTGAAAGAAAAAAAAAAAAAAAAAAAAAAAAAACGAATTAAAATTTGAGCGTTTGCATCAAAAAGTATATTAGAATCAAAAATGATAATGAAATTATCTATGATAAAATCAAAAATAATGCATATTCGTAAAGCATTACCATTCCATTTTCTCTTTACATTTTAAAATAACCATGATTATTTTCAACATGATACTTAAAACAATTCATTACTAATTTTAATATTTCAGTTACCTGACGATAATTTATCATACTAGTGAACGAATTAATTAATCATAATGAATTTAAATATGTAAATAATCATATTTTTCATATCGCATTTAATAGTATTTGCCTGTTGTCTAAAATATAATTGTAGTTATCTAACACTGGTATATAATATATGGTAAGTTATATGTGTGAATGTAAACTTAATTATTATTATTTTTTAAAATGAAAAATTTCATTTCTTTTCCTTTTTTTTTTGGTATATAATTTCATGATTAACTGATATCATTAAAATAACAATTTGTAACTTACATACCTCACGTGAATTCTTCTTTCATCAATGCGTAATTATTGTAAAATTAATGAAGAATTATGGAAATTATTGTTAATAAATATCATACAATACAAAGAAATAGACAACGTGAAATAACAAATGTAATTTTAAGAAATGCAAATAATTTAAAGGTTACGTGATATATTGCAGTTACGTGAAAAAGCTATATCCATCGCAACCTGCCTCTCAACCTGTTCACTTGCTTGTTTGCGTGTGTTTGTTGTGACGGTTAGAGGTTAAAGATTAGAGATTAAAGGTTAGAAGTTAGAGGTTGAGGATTGTGTTAAATTCGAGTTCCTTTTTCATGTTAATCTGGTAATTGTGATGTTTTTTTTGCTAATCGTATCAATCTTTAACTCTCTCTATGAAATTTATAAAACTTTATAATTCTTTTTCACTTCTTGCATTACTGTAAAAAGCTTGTTTACTTTACTTATTGCTAAAAGTAATCAATAAAAGTATTATGTATATACGTTCAGATGTGAAATAAAAAACATCGATCTGTTAAATGATATAAATAACATTAACATAGCATTAACAGTAATAAGTGACAAACTAATTAAATGAATGATTAGCGAAACAATTTATAATTTGTTTTTCTTTTAAACTTCATCACTTTTCAACTTTTACAATTATATCATAGTTGTTGGAGGATTACTTTTTTTTTCTCTACTTAAAAACAAATTACTGTAATACATTAATCTATTAGAAATTAGATTTGCAAGAAAAAAAAAATTTTTTTTTACAGTTAAAAAATTGTACTAATTTATATCTCAACAACTTTTCATTCATTTTTAGGTTATTGTTGAAATTCTCCATAACTATATGATTTTGTTACAATTTTAAAAATAATATTTACTTTTTTAAAATGATATAGCATTTATGCTGTAAATTTCATTGCAACCCTGCAAGTAGTGTAGCATTTGGAGTTGTTGATACGATATACATTTGACATTTGCAATAAATCTGTATCGAAAAAATCTGTGCTGATTGTTAGTAAGATAGGATATTTCATAATAATAATGAACTTACTAACTGATTAATTGAGTTATGGCAAATCTCTAAAAATTAATTAATGAAAAATAAATATGTGATATTTTATATGACAAAGTTTACATAACATCATAATTATTCATCATTTCGAGCTCATTGTTTTATTAGAAAATATTTCAGACCGAATGAGTAATGTGGTACGATTTAACGAAGAGATGGGTTTTCTGGAAATATGGGATCGAATTCGTAAACGAATTACAAGTGATCAATGCGAAATACAAGAGTTTACAAATATGCTGGATAATTTGATATACTACTGGGAATTAGCTGTGGAAAATTGCAAGCCTAAGAATCGTGAGATATATAATGCACTTTGTTGTATCCTTCGTGAGGTATGTTAATTACAATTGGAAAAAAAATAGTAATGAATAATTTACATTAAAAGATCACAAAAAAATAGGATTCTAATTTATACTTTATTTTTGTCAGTTTTAAAAGAATATAGATAAATCATAAACTGTATGTTTTTATTAGCTAAGAGATAAATTATTTAAATTAAAATGGAAGAATTAGGCGAAGTGTATTTGATATAGATTTGGCAATGAATAAGTTTCGTTTTTAATAGTTTAATATTTTAATACTGATTTAGTGTAGCAGGAAAGACAGCGTAACTTATAAAGGTATCACATATCATTTTCCTATTTCTGGATTTTAATGAATAAGTTTCGTTTTTAATAGTTTTAATATTTTAATAGTAGCAGCCTGATTTAGTGTAGCAGGAAAGACAGCGTAACTTATAAAGGTATCACATATCATTTTCCTATTTCTGGATTTTATAATCGTTAAACTAACGTTACGTTTTCTTTTTTTCCTTCTTTAGTGAGAAAAGGTGCGACGAAATTTTAATTTTTTCAGGAAGTTATCAAAAAAAAGGAAAATTTTCCTGAAACATCAAAATATTTTGGTGAATCAATTGCAACTATCGATTCAGGGTTTGGCACATTCAATTCAGAATCACCTACAAAGTATAATTCGAAATTGATTACATTAAATGATACAGATGTTAATCAAAAGGTAATGTCTCACCGACCAAAATGTATCAAATCAAGATCACCAAAAATATTACTAAAAAATGTAACATATGATGCTACTGTCATCAGGAATACTTTTGATGGTAAATTAAGAAATGTAAAACAGTCTAGAAATACCTATCCATATATAGTAACAGCAATAATGTGTTGTTTTGCTTGTTTGATTGCTGTAATACCGCATCGTTTCTTTCCGTGGTTTTTCACGTTGATATCTTTTAATTCACCACCACCATTGTAAATGAAAAATATGTTCCGAAAATTATGTGCGTAATCATATGACTGAGTATGAGTGATTTTTTTCCTCTTCCTCCCGGTATCTGAACATAGGTCACTGCATTCATTGTTCTGTAATTTTACATGTAAAAAGCTAATGTGCTGTGCAGTTTCCTATAATCATTAGGACTATTATTATTATTATTAAATAAAAAACAATATTGTGAGAGAAGATTTGTAAAATACTTTAGGTTGATTTATTCACTTAATTGCACAAGTTTGTAGTTTTTTTCCTTGTAAATTATGTACATATAGTACCATTTTTAAGAAATGTTGAAAGATTTTTTCGAGTTTCATTTTTAATCTCAGATTGTTTTATCTTTCACTTTTCTTTTAATTGAATTAGGCTTTATGTGTTACCACTGTTTTGCTTTCTTCTTTGTCTAATTTTATAAATTATTTCAATTTCTAATCTTGTTTGTCACTTATTTGCTAAATGTACATCATTTTAAGTGCTTTAAGGTGTTAGGAATTTGTGTAAAATGTATCTTTATCAGTGCTATCTTTATTTATAAAATAATTTTTTCGCTTTGAAAGAATCTATTCAATAATATTAGTTAAATTTCTTTAATAAGATTTTGATATTTATTTAAACAAATAGCATTTTGAATTAAGCAAATTAAACTATTGAAAATACTACATAGTAAAAACAATTCAGTATAATTAGAATGAGTAAATATTCTCTTTAAATAATTTTGCAGTATATATTGATCACTTTACGACATGTCTATATTATTGTACTCACAGTGCTTTGTACGCGGAGTGCTAATATAATTCTATTTTCTATAATTTTGTATTTTCCTTTTTTTTTTTTTTTTTTTGTCAAGCTAATGAGATAAATGTAACGTAACGTATTTTTATCTAACAATGCAACATATGAGAAATAATATTCAACGTACGTTAATTACGTAATGAAACTTTGCAATATCTCATTGTTTGTTTATTTACATCATTGATGTTTTCCCTTTCTTTTCTCATACTACTACTAATAATAATAATAATAATCAATGGAAACAAGCCAACTTTTCTTCCCTCCAACTGGTGTTGCATAGTGCTGCAACAGAGATGGGATGCATAATTTTCGTATTGGGGTACGTCGTATGCGACGTAACGTTTTCTAGTGAGATTTAATTGGAACCAATGCTTCATTAGGAATGGGATGTGTATTTGTGTTCTACGTGAGTTGTGGTTTCTCGGGTTTCTCTGAGGATTAGGGCAAGTAAGGGTAGTTTGTGTAATCGGTTCATGTTCATTAAGGAATTAGGGTTTCTGGAACTGATTCTTAAAATTTATTTTACTGTTGGAGGAGAAAAGTGTCAATATCATTTTCTTTAATTTAAGAAAGGAAGTGCGTTTTATAATGCAAATTAAATTACTAACATGTCAAATATTTGCTTGTTTGTGTTTGTTATAGGGAATTTGAAGATAAAGAAGTCAAGGTGCTTTTTTGTTGAAGTTGGAGTCGAGCAAATATTACTAGCGAAATATGGTAAATTTTGTTAATTTTTTAAAAACTATAATCTGCATTTAAGGACTCATTTATAGACTCCATGTAGTCAAATGCCATAAGTTCATTTGAGGGTAAGAAATTAGAGCAGGCAGCATTATGTTAATTTATTTGGCAGGCATTTTCATGTAACATTACTGAAGTACTGCCAATTTTGAGCTGAAATGTGACATTTCTGTAACATGATTGAATTATTTAAATCACTGTAAGAATGTCGAGATATTCATCCTTGACCCCTTCTATAATAATAAAAGTTCTAGTGGTTTACACTTCAAATTTTTTATGGGTATCGGTCAAGTTTTTCAGTCTACTGCTTTTAGTATCATTTGTAATACGTTCGGACACTATCGAGAGGTGCTCACTGCTTCTTCGATTCTTCAATTAAGCAAAATTTACTTCTAGTTTGCATTTAAGTAAGTAACTATGGCTGGAACAGAAAACTTGACAGAAGCGATTATCAGCTCATGATAATCCTTGATAATCTCATGATTGATCTTTCTTGAATTTCTACCTATAGATGAATTGTCGCGATGTTAAGCTTTTATCCCTGGAAAAATTTACACAGGTGTTCTATAAAAGTTAACTCTTGAAACAGTACCTGGTGGAAACTTCGAATTTTTCTATGGAATTCAGGAAGTGTAGCATACACTTGAAAACTGAGGGTGACTTCTTGGACCTTTTCTATGTATTTATGACTGTATACAGTTTTTTAACATTTTATGGTTATTGTCGTTTTAGGAATTGATGAAATATAATAATATAGTAAAGTTCAAATATTCATTGTGTTTGAGACACATAATAGTTTTGCAAGACGATCACTTTTAGTCTTTCCGTTATATTTGACATTCCGTAGTTAAAATAAAGTAAGAGAGTGAAGTTATGATTAAACTTTATTCGATCGTTTTAGGGTGATTCTGTAGTAACAATTCGGACGAATAAAGTGATGACTAATCGCTTGTTGGCAAGACGGCAAATGGTGAGAATTTGTTTTGTATTTATCAGTCAGTCAAGTTTGTATTAGTTTAAGCCATTTTGCTGAGTTATTCATGGAGAAAACTGTCATTACTCATTGTAAGAAAAACGATCGTTTCCAATAATCTGACTTCAACCATTTGATGTTATATGCATTCGATGGCGCTCTCAATGTTTTGTACTTGTATTGTTGAGATGGATGACTTCGAAATATGCATCTTCTTATAATTCATTTTCCTATCTGTTAACTTTAGCTTTGGATTCAGGACAGTCTAATTTTGGTAAGCTTCTAATATTTTGATATCGTCCATCTTCAACATCTAGTATATTTAATATATTACAGATCTATTCTTCCTGTTTTGGTAATTCATGTTTTTATGGGAATGTCTTAATTTTTAGGTGGTCGAAATCCTTCATCCTAATCGAGCATCAGTTCCTAAAGTCGAGGTTCGTGAAAAGTTGGCTCAGATGTACAAGACCACTCCTGATTTGGTTTTTACCTATGGTTTCCAGTGTCACTTTGGTGGTGGAAGGAGTACTGGTTTTGCTCTAATCTATGATACAGCAGATTTCGCCAAAAAATTCGAACCAAAATATCGCTTGCTGAGAGTAAGTTTCTCATCCAGCTTTTCCGTCATCAACAATGCTTCAAGTTCAATTGCTATGTGACGTGCATTCCGAATACTTATGTCTCGTAGTGTTTCCATCAGTAAGCATGTGTTTCACGTAATATGAGCAGTTTCCGTTTATTTGATTTGTGCAGGGTAAGTTATTGTGCTACGTTTTGATTTAAAAATAATGAAGGAAATTGTTGGAATTACAGCAAACGGGCACGAAGGCTGAGAAATCAGGTCGTAAACAGCGCAAGGAGCGTAAGAATAGGCAGAAGAAAGTACGTGGAACAAAGAAGACTAAAGTTGCTGCAGGGAAGAAGTAATTTTGTAAGCGAATATTATGGTGTGACAAACCCATTGTTTTTGTTATTAAAATTTTTTATATTTAATCAAAAGCAATGTAACCATAGTAAACACTGATACTCCAGATCTTTTTATTTCTGAAGGCTGGAATTTCGAAGACATTGTCAGGCAATATAATTCAGAATCTGCATTTGTTTTAAAGAAAGCTTAGAAAATGTGGATTGTGGTTTCATTGTTTACGGAATGTCTGTTACTGTTTAGTGTAAGCATCGGAAAATGGCTTGAAAATGAAAATAACAAATTTCTGGTGGGAAAAGGCGCACGTTTAAAATTTTTGCTTTGGAAACCATCAAGCAAAGCCATTTCTTGCATCATCTTTACCTAAACTTTAAATTCCAGTTTCCAAGATGTTTTGGACACTAGTATGACCATGTTTGATTAGGGACTTGTGAGCTACTGAAATATCTCGAGACCTTTTAAATGGAAATGCCGTAATTTGAACATTTAGGTACGTGAATCTTTTTATATCAGGAATCTTTAGATATCAGGAATCCATTCTTATAATACTTGCATCATTTACTATTAACGTATACATGTAAACAAACGAATGAGGAAATAGCTTTACTGATTTGTTTGCATAAAAAGGCAAGAAAAGGTACATGGATAGCCTATTAAAGCAGCTTAAAATGTTTCTCAGAAACAGCAGTTTTGGAGGCAATTCACGGACCAATATATGGCAATCGTTACGACCGGTTACACCGGTAATGGAAAAGCAAGAAGGATATATACACATTATAATTTGGCAATATATATATAGTTGTCAAATTTATATAATTGGCAACTGTCGTAGAAAGTATAGTAGAGCCGGTATTTCTTAGAGAAGGAGTATAATGCAACTTCCGGAAATATGCTCGACTAAACTGATTGGGCTTTTCTTTTGCCAATCCAAAGTACGGATTTGTAATATTTAAGCGCAACCTTGCCCACTAATTTCATTAGTCATAAAAATTATCATGCGGTGAGGAAGTGATAAAGAACATGTTAGCTGAACGGAAATTTGTTTTAATTTACAGCAGTTTGAAAATTTTCTCCAGCAGAGCGGCTTTCGTTGTATCACTCAAATTTTTGTATTCCTCTGTCTGTTTGAGGGCTTTTATATCGGCTGGCTGTTTGAAGGTTCGCACACAAACATCCTAAAATATTAGTGAACCATACATTAGTTATAATTATTATTTGGGTGTTAAACGATATATTACTTTGAACTGCATGAAATCGCTAGAAAATTTTTTTTAAGTCAAATAGTAGAACTTGTGACGTCTTGAAGATGTGAGTTTTCTGCATCGTGTCACTGGGACGGAATAGCCCTAATGAATGAATTTATAAAAGAGGAGAGTAATAATCTGTTCAGTAATTTTTAAAACGCAAGTCGAATATGTAGTGGAAAACTCTTAGAAGAGATCTGGTGCGGTCAGATCTACTATTATGACTAAAAATCACGGGTTGTAGTAGTAATCGTTAGTGAGTCCCCTTATTACCCTTAAAAATTTAAGGGAATTGAGAAAAAAGTTCAAGTTTTAACAAACGCCAGTAGCAGTTGATTTGATAAAAATGACTAGTGACTTACGAATGTGCTAGCTATCCAGGTATTTATCATAAGAAATACTGCAATGAATGCTCAAAGACTTTGAGAATTCCAATTATTTGATTAAACAGATTATGGTTTAGTATGTAAGGAAACACCTGTAACTTGGCAAGACAGTACTGGTCAGCCCAAACAAGCTTCGTAACCACGGCAATATCATCGGATCGCATCAGAAATCTTTCACATTCATCAATCACGAATTGGATTTCGAATTTATCACCAAGTTCCAATAAAAATTCTACATTTTCAGCTGAAAAAAACAGCTTACAAATATCGAATGACAACCCATTCTCATTTTCTCAGTAATTCATGACATTTTGATGATTAAGTTTGACGTCCATCAGGATTTTTTATGCATATCTTTATCTGCTACCTTCACCCACTCCTTTTTTCCTACTTAATTATTCTCTACCCAAATTTAGCAAATATTTACCTGATACTGGTTTATGAGAGGGATATACAACGCTTAGTAATTCAATGAATTCATCCAGAATTACATCCTCAACAGTGATCTCTTTTTTATCTCTTTCACTAAACTTCGAGAAAAACATAGCATGGAAAACGGGTGAATACAATGCCAAATACTGCAATAAGTTTTAAACAGAAATAACAAACAAAACAATCACATATTAAATAATTCCAGGATCAATTTTTGATTTGTTACTATGGTCACTGTTGATGTATAAGAAACTTTATTTTCATTCTTATTGCCTAGTGGCATATATAAATATGGCGAAAATACCTATTTTTTTCTCTCCCTTCCCTCCTGATTTTTCTCACTTTATAACTTTTTAAATAGAAATAAAAACAAAGTAAGCGACAATACCGCTTTGCTAACATGCAAGCGAATACCATCAATGACAAGCACACCATCTGATGTATGTGGCTGTGGTATAGTGAAATCAAATGTCGGATTTTTCCTGAAAGCGTAAAAATTAAGTTGTAGACAGATTTTATTTTATTAGTATAAAGTTATAGAATTCAAGACTTTCAACTCTTAACTTGGTCCTTAAATTAAGATATTGATGATACAAGCTAGATAGCTCCTCACCCTTAAGTAAAGCAAACTAACGAAAAACATCAGACCAAACACAGTATTATTAAGAATTTAAATATAAAACTTCTTGAAAATCCAACCCAATTATTCATTTATTTCAAATTATCCACATACTAACATATTTATAGGGGAAAGACTTAATAAAACAAGAAGCTAATAATGTTAAGGCAATAAAAAAGAACCAAAAAACATAAGTTTTACCTCACACCAACAACTTTTTGTACAGTAATATGCGCTTCAACAACAACACGATCACCACGGATAAAACCTTTATCGACATTTAATATTTCGCTCCACTCCATAAATGATGGAAAGCCCCAGTTATTTGAATTATAATTAAACTTATTTGTGAACTGAAATAAATTATGAAAAGTTAAACTATGAGTCCAAATAACATCTTAAAAGTATATTAGTTATTCGAAATGACAAACCCACCAATAATGTAAGCAAATGACATGTTGCATCAGATATAAATCGTCAGACAACTGGTAACAGGAATTTAAATCACTTTTATAGATTACCTGACGACTAAAATTAGGAGTGTCAGCTTTTTGGGAAATCAATCGGAACTCAACGATGGCATCACAACTCCACAAAGTTGATTCACTTTCCGGGTTGCAATCTATGTATACACTAAAGAATTTTACATTGCTGGTTCGTTTTGTACATTCCGTCTTAGCTGCCAAACGCCTGCAATGCACAACTTATTTCATCTGGTAATGAATTTGATTCGGTAAGTTTATAATAGCAGTGAGGCATGCGAGAAAACTAGCTAATGCTTTACTCGAAAGGCAAATCTATTCTACGAAGGTTTACTTAGAATCATTTCATAGCTAGATAATCATTTGTTTTGAAACTATTCGTTTATCACTGCAAAAATCATTTGTTTCATTCTTTTGAACTGAGTGAAGGATCGCTCTGATTTTTCTTAAATTTTGGAAGGAAAAGCTCTGTCGTGCTTTACCACTGATTAATTCCTTCGATATCTGTACTGAGAACGACAAAGTTATATCCCTAAATTACAACCTTATATTTTGAATCATTTTCTGCAAGGAAACTTACCATGGTAGGTTCGCAATTGTATGGAATGATGTTGTTACTTTTTGTCTCAGTGCTCCCATATTCGATATATTAAGCTTTATTGAACCTTCGGTTTTCGAGTCTGTAATTATTTATGGTAAAATTCATCAAAACGACATCAACTTGAAACAAGCAAACTCCAGAATGTCTACGCTAGAATTTCTGGTTCAATATAACACAGTCATAATTTTTGATGAAAACTTCACCATGCCGTATAGCATCATCCGAAGAACGTGCAAATTCAGAACCACAAGCAGAAAGATCGACTGATGGACGATGAGTAACTCCCGTACAAGCTGAATTATTCGGTGAAAACAAACGTTTCTGAGGAATGATATTTGTACCACTTTGTCCGGGGTTTGCACTTGAAATCGAACTCGAACCAGCAACATTTAAGTTTGAATTCTGCAATCGCAAATGATTCCGTTTTCTCGTAGTTGATAGTTGTGCCTAAAAAACCTATGCTCTCCATCGTCTAACAAAACTCACTCACTTAATTATTTATATTTTCTTTCAAGGTATTCCTATGATTGTGTAAGGTAATGTATAGGTTCAACAAAAAGAAATATCAGTTTTATATTGAAACAAAAAATATTGTTTCATTTGGTCTTGTAATTCCCGAATGCTCGGTAATTCTTTGGAAATGCCACTTTGAAAGATTCAAAATTTTGATTGGAAAAGCAAAAACAGAAAAGAATGTCTTACACGCAAATATGAAGAAATTTTCGGGGTATGAAGTCTTGAAATATATATACCAGGAATGCGTTCATTACCTCGAGCAAAAATACTGAGTGCAGGGCAATCCTGACATTGCAAAACCCAAAGTCTTCGTATGTCAGGGATAGCAAATCGCTGAACTAACTTAGAGCTATATGACTATACGCATAATTATAACTACATATGTATAGTTGTATATACATTGTTAACATATGTATATTACCGAAACCTAATTCCATGGAAAGCCTTTAATCTGTTCCTTTAAACTTCGAATTAAAATCTGGATAGTTCATTTAATCAGAAAAAACTAACATTATTTGTAAGGAAAGCGCCGGATGATGAAGCTTCCGAAGCATTGTTACTAGGAGGATTAGGTAGTACTTCTCCCTGGAAAAAGAAAACCAATAAATTTTATGCCTTGATCATTAAAATTAGATCAGTGCTTCTATGGAGTGTTATGTTCTGTCACTTTAAATTAGATAGAAAACCTATATGTGCTCTTCATAATAAATATTTTCGGATAAGTTAATGGTAATAATGATATTACATAGCGCTTTCATGTAAGCACGGAGATAAAAAGTTTTGATTGATACATTAAATGACCATCATATTATTATCAAAGCATTGAGTACCAGCAGTAAATTCGAAAGTTACCTAACTAGCATGGAAATCACGAAATCGTAAAAATGCATCATATATGTGCAATACATGAAAGAAATTGTAGAGGACTAAAACACATTATGTAAGAGTGCGCTGTAGCCCACAACACATGTCAGGCGCACTTGCATCCAGAGTATGCGGATTTATTTCTGATTACGAAGTAGGTAAAGATTCTCAATATAGGTAATCTTATTCCTACTCGCCATGTTGTATACAAATATTTTAATGCAAACACATGTAAGACATTTCCTTGAAATCTAACCTGCTGCTGCATCGCTGCATCGTGTGGATCTGCTTCATGTGCGGGAGTCTTCGAATTACTATCATTTTCATCACCAACAAATAACTCTTCATCCGACATTGCCATTCACTTCAAATGAAATCGACATAATCAATTTGAAACTAATGTACTGCTTATATAACTGAAATTATTCCAGCTAGCGAAAACTTGCAAATTTTATTGAAAACATCAAAAATTAAATAAAGCTAGAATGATAATGATGTAAGGCAATCAACTCATAAAGTAATCAAAAATGACAACTGAGTAATAGTCAATGGAAAACAAAAGCAAACAAAAGTTATAACAGAGAAATTATTAAAGTAGTGGTAAAGTTGTAAAATAAAAGAAAATAAAGTATAATCAGAATAGATGCTAAGAAAAAAACGACAAATAATATCAATAACGACCCGTAACTAGCACAACTAGCTAAACAATAACAATGGCCGCTTCTCTGTGAGCATTTTATGTCAGTCAATAAATACTTTCGAACCAAACAGATTCGTTGTGTGACCGAGTCATGCAACATTGATTGTTTTTATGAGTGGACTGGATTTTGTTTCATTTTTTTTTTTTAAATTATGTTTTTGGCACTTTTTCTCTTAGAACTTATAGTTTTGTCTTTGTTTTATTCGTTTACTTATTTTGACATCAATTTTTTGATTAGAACAGTAAACAAACAAAAAGTTTTATTTAACATGAAAGCTTTTTTTTTTTTGTGTGAGATATAAGTATTATGCTTTAGATTATGTCTGCAGTGTAGGTTAGATTATCTATACAGATAGAGAAAGAAAAATAAGTTGGTTTCATTGTGCTAACTCTTTTTTTCTTTTTTTTTTTTTTTTAAATACTATATCATAAGGAGTTATTAATTTAGTATTTTGGCATCTATTTCACTCACACATCTATATATACATATATAACTCAACATTTGTAGCATCTTAAAATAAAGTCAAGTGAGGACATTACTAGACATTTTCTCATTTATATGTACATTTTTCACGTTGCATCTATCGTTAGTTACGTCTTAATCTTTCATTTAAATATTCTTGAAGTGTTGTTCCCTGTTACTTTAAATTTTTACTCTATGTACTTTTTGATGAAATTTTTACTATTTACTATTACTTGCTCATTTTTATGATATGTTTTTGTCGTTATACACACATTTTCATACAAATTTTATCTCTTTGATATTTTTTATTGCATTTATTTTTCGTGTGATTTTGCAATATTTGAAGAGATTCATATGATGCATGCGTTTTGTCTTTTTATTTGCATGTTCCTGCATGTTGTCTTTGTTTATTTTCATGTACTGTACTTTTGTGTTGCTATTTATTATTAGTCGACTTAGTTTTTGATTTGCTAAAAGTTTTATCTTTTTTATTTGCCAGTTATCGATTGGAACGATATCAAAATGTGCGCATGAAAATTGTCGAAGTATATGAAATGTAGAAGTGTGCAGTGTCAATATAAGTGAACTCGCAAATGCAAATTTGATACATATCACAAAAATTTTCTTTAACAATGGATAATCAGACAGAATTGTTGGTGGGCTTGGTTTGTAGCGATGAAGAATTGGTGGAGTACTACGTTCAGTTAATCACCGAAATTAAACGATTTACTTTAAAAGGTATCTTTTTAACACTATTTGAATTTTTAGTGGAATATTTCAAAAAGTTTTTCGAATTTGGCTTCTTATAATTGCAGTTGTCGTATTGTAAAATTTGTTTGACAGTTGAATATAGTAAATAAATATTGTTATATTTTATATATCATTTTTTATGCTTATTATATTTTCTTCCTCTTTTTTGCTAATGTTGTATTACTTGCTATTTATTTGATAGGAAGAACTGTCCTTAGTTTGCTTTTTATTTGAATTTGGAAGAAGTTACAAAGCTGTGTGGGCAACTGGAATTATCACGCATAAAACCATAATCCTAATTGATAGGAATTAGTTAAGAAGAATCACCTAGTGTTAGTCTTCAATTTCGTTACTATGGAATTTGCATCAACCATATTTTGGTTGATGCAAATTCGAGAAGAGGAAAAGAATGCGCAATAGGTGGAATATTAATACTCCAAAGCTCTCCAAAGATGGACTTGTATCGAAAAAACTGTGATCGTTATTTAATGCGATGATTATTTTCTGATTTTTTTAAGGTACTTTTCAAATTTTTTTAAGTAATTTTTTTTTAAGTACAAAGTTTTTTGTTGTTTCTGCAGCACAGATCTACGGATTATAGATTTCCAAATTACATGAATTCCTACTTTGTTTAATAATATATACTGTTTATAATGAATTCGTACTCAGTTTTCTTATTCTTTTCTTCACCATTATGCTTTAATAATTTCATTAAGTGTGTCTCTTACTTATTTTCCTGTACATTTTGTCTTTCGTTTTGAGTGTCACTATCCAGTCTCACTATTAATATTTCATTTCATTCCTTCCGAAGAATACGACATAAAGTTCCTTAATTACTCCATGATCTCAACGCATCATTTGCTATATTTTGAAAATATTTCATTTAAATTTGTTGCAAAAGAATTTTATATATTAAATATTTATAATCACATTACAGATTTATGATATTTGCTACAAAAGAATCCCAAAGTTTGCATACATCATTTGAAAATGGCACTAAACAATAGCACGATTAATAAAGAAAGCAAGAAAGTATTAACATAAAAGTTGTTATGTAGCACACAATATTAAACAGGAAAAGAGATTTAATAAAACTGTTCTATTAAAAATTATGGGAAGCTTAAATTATAGAATTTAGAAGAAATATTAATGTTAGTGGGTCACGTTTTATCAAAAATTTGAATTTTTGTTTTGCAAATTGGATGGTTTCTTTTTTTGGTAACAAAATTTTGTTGCAGTTCCTGCCTGCACATTTTCACAACCCACTGAATCACACTTATCAAAATTTTTTTTTCAGCGATTTGGTGTCCCGATACAGAGAGAAGTATAGATATTGCAGCCAATAATGATGTACCATCCGTGTCGCATACGGCATTTCAGCTAATTTCAAGGAATGATATTAACACGGTTGTCATCACTGGCCATGCTGCTCACAGTGCCTTATTTTGTATGCAAGCACAAGGTTTTTATTCTGCAATAACTTATTAATATGATGTGAAATTTTCCAAGAATAAAATTGCTTAATTTTGGTGGGAGTTATTTTTAAAAGTGCTTTATTTTAGCTTTGAAGAAGAAAGCAATATGTATCGGTGCAGCTGCACTTTCTGAGCAAACTGCTGAACTGTTGGTGGAATTTTCGGAGAAGAATAACACATTTCTCCAGATTATCTATCCATTGAAGTATTCAACGCCTGTAGAACTAATTAAGGCAAATATCGCGGAAATAGGTTCAATTCAAAGTATAAGTGTAGAAGCAACATTTGAACAACCTCACGATGCTAAGCATCGTTTGTACAATGAATGCAACACTGTTCTTCATCAAGTAAGCCATGAAATTGTCGATACTCTGAGTGCAATCTGCGGTTGCAATCCAATACCAATTGCAACTACATGTCATCAACGAAGCACTTTGGTGGAACATTTTCGGTTGCAAGAATTGCAATATATGCATATGCAGATTGCATTTAGTAATATAGTTGCAAGCATTCGATTTGCTGTAAACACAACCAAAACATTGGTTTTGCGGATTAATGGCGAGTTGGGATTCTTCCAGTTAGATCCTCGTATGCTTGTACTGGAAGGATGTAAAGATCAAGGAGTACTGTGGCGTGGTGATGGTACAATGGAAAGTATCATTCGAACTGGCACTTTGAAAGCCCTAGAAAACTGTGACTGCAATAAATTGTCAACGGATGTCAATGAACTGAGTCTGGTGCAGTGTGTTTCGATTTGTCGTTTCATATGAATCTATTAAATATCTAAAACCTTCAGTTGCATTATTTGTTGTTTTTTTAAGACTATACTTTCGTTTTGTTTCCAACTGATTTCTAGTCCTAGATTATCCAGAATTAGTCCTGTGAAAGGATGCAGCAAAACATCTGGTTGACAAATATTTCATGGTGACATTTTGTTTGAAATTTATGCACTCTTTGAAATGGTTATTTGTTAGAAAAGACGATTATTATTTCTTGAAGGGATAATTTATTAATTATCCATAAACAACACTTTGTCAGTTATGACTGACTATAACAATACAGTCGAAATTATATTTTTTTCGCAACTTATCAGACGAAATGTATAATATACATGTACACAAATGCTTGAAACTACTAATCAATAATTTTGTATTTTGAATTAAAAAAATATAACAGCTTTTTGAAGATGTGAAAACAAGCCATTTAAAAATTAGGAGTTCAATTTTTTTTTTTTTTTTTTTTTTTTGTTTGAAAAAAGTATTTTTTTAGGAGGAAGACTCTGATGAGGGTTCTTTTTTGTTCTTTTGGTCATAAGTCCAGAATTCAGGCACGAATTCTTTTTTTCGATATTTCATCGCGTCGATCATCAAACTAATTGCCATTGTACGATTGTTATTTAGGAAATTGTACAAATCTTCACTCAATCCACTTGATTTTACTCTTGTTACAGCTAGACTAACTGCTTTTTCCAATGTTTGTTGAGCATCTTTTTCACGTCCTGGAGGAATTTTGCCAGCAAAATACAACCGGATTAACTCATTTTCCGTTTCTGATGCTGCAGCATTTTTAAACAATTGTTTGTTCATTATGATCCCAAGAACTTGACATGCGGGTGTGGACAGAATGACCGGTTCAGCATCAAACATATCGTCCGGACAACTATCAGCTTTATGTGAACCACTGCTACTAATATTGCTTGTACCTGCCACTTCTGCTGCGACCAAGTAGGCAGATTCCTGATTTGAACTTATAAGTGGTACGATGTATTCTTGTGAGCCTTTAATAGTTGGCGTAGATTGCTGTATGAATTGAGAAGGTACTAGTGATGACTCGGAAGGTGTTTTAGAGCCAACTGACATACTACTAGCACCACTAGGTACTGATGTCACTTCTTTCTTCTTCCTATCAATCCTGTAAAGTCCATTTTTTTAAGTTGAGTTCAATAATTCTAATTAATACAAACGTGTTCATCAAATATACTTTACAAAAAATTTAAAGCATTCTGTTCTTTCTTCCTTTATTTACATTCATAGAGATACAATGCTTATTGTATTAGTAACTTGTTTTACCAATTATTTAAAAGTTTACTTCGTTTTTTTCTTATTCATTCATTTTTTTCTAAAGTTAGTTAATGAATTTATCTCCAAAAAAAAAAAAATTTTTTTTAAATATTGGAAGCACAACTGCGCTATATATTACATATATTACCTATCAAATGTTGCTTCGTATTCGGATTCCTCATCTTTAACTTCAGTGACAGTTTGTTCTTCTGTATCCATTTCAGTATCGGTATCCTCCTTTTCCACCGTTTTTGTTTCCTTTTCAGTTGTTTTTTGTTCCTTTTCAATTTCAGTTGGCGAAACAGCAGTAAGCGATTTTGATAATTTCAGCTTCTTTTTTTTTTCTTGTCGTTTCATTTTCTTAGGTCGATGTTTTCTCTGAAAGAATCTGTGAACGCTTTTATTCATTTTTATCTAATTCATTATTATTATTATTATTATTAAGTTGTTATCATTACCTATTATCATTGCTGTTATTGTTATCAATAACATCAATAAAACTAGTATTAATTACTTACTGAAGACCTTGCTATTAGATTACATAAAGCTGTTGATAAGATGATGCATGAAAAATGGAAAAGAAAATGAGAATAAAATAAAATGAAAAGGAAAGGAAAAACAATTGTTACTGATTATTCTTCAAAAATACCAAATTTTATTTTGATTATTACAGGATTATACGATGTCATTTGTTTATTGATAGTCATTAAAACTGAAAATTTAAATTATACTTTCTCTTTGCCTTCCTCAGAAGAGACAGAGTTTGGTTTTGTACCTTCCTTCCATTTCAGGACATTTTGTTTTTTCTTCTTACTTCGTGCTGGTCTCTGCTGTACAGCCACCTGAAAGAAGAATTTTTTTCAGACATTAGTTGTTGAAAATTTTCTGTACAATGCAAATATATACATATATATTTTTTCATGTAAATGGCTTAATTGTGTAATAATTTGTCAATTTATTATAAGAATGCATTGAAGTGTTAAAAAATTTTTAGATCACATGATTTGAAATAAATGAATTATTTAAATTCAAACTGGAATGTTGAGATTTTGGTGCCTTCAAAGTACACAATTTATTTTTTCCAATGATATAATTTAAATAAAATTTATTCTGCTCTTGGTGATAACATTTAATTACTCTAATATTATTTTAGAATGGCATACAAATTATGTGTGAGGAATAATTTTTCAAGTAATAATTTCTGAAAGAAAAAAAAAAAATATTGCTTGTATGTAAAACTTATCCAACTGCAATAGAGGAAATAATTTGAAATTTATTTACAAACATTAAAAATTAAATAACATTTTTAAATATTGGAAAAATCGCCATACTTTGCAACATTGGTGAAATTAATTTCTTCATTTATTTTATTAAGTTAATAATATATGCAACAGATTATTTTTATTTATTTATTTATTTTCAAATCATGAATATTGAATATTACATAATTATGGATAAGTGCTCTTAAGCTACTCTAAATTTAATAGTAAAATTCGCAAAGTATTATTGAAAATATTACCTTTAATTAATGAGTTAATAATATGTGAATTTCAAATTGATAGTTTTTTTTTTTTTTTTGAAATTTTTTCCCTACCTTTATTGCATATTCCATTGAACTTTTTAGGTATTTTTTTTTAATATAGTAAATTATTATATAAATAGAGTAAATTAGATTGCATTTACTAAATTTTTTATAAACATAATTAGCTGTTTATTTATTTATTTTCTTTTTTTTTTTTTGCTCATTTTAATTTTTCTTCATTAAAATAGTTCTAACTTCAATGAGTAAAAGAATAAAGAAATAAGTCAGTCAACAAACAAGAAATAATGTTATAGTACTTTAACATATAGCTAAATAAATAATATGATAATATATCTAAACAAATAACTAACCAACAAACCTTTTCAAATTCTGTATTTTCTTCTTTACTGTCAATCGTTTCTTTTTTATGTCGTAAAAATTTCATTCGCATTTTTCGAAAATTTGATGGTAAGCCAATAGTTTTTAATTTTTCTTTTGTTGCTTTCAACCTAAACAATTCACCTCCAACTGTACTTGCAGGTGGAGTTGCAGATGTACTTGCAGTTGAACTTGCAGTTGAACTTGTAGCAATACTACTACTACTACTACCACTACTATCCTGTATGGATGATGACTGCTGTTGCTCTTGTTGTTGTTGCTGTTGTTGTTGTTGTTGTTGTTGTTGTTGTTGTTGTTGTTGTTGATCAGATGATACTGTATCAGTAAGCAATTTTTTCCATTGATTTTTTAAACGACTAGCCATTACAATTGATAATATTAAAGAAGCAACAATTGTTAAACTTTCAATTAACCAATCCTTTTCCATATTATATAACAGAAATAAACATTTCACATCTGCTTTTATACTATTTATAACATTCATATATTTATGCAAATATTTAATAGAAATTTAAATAGTGCAATTTTAAAATGTTGAAAAAAAAAATTTTAATTTCTTTCTTTTTTTTTATAGTTAACGTTCATTTATCATATAGAAAATGAACCTTTTTTTTTTTAAAAAAAATTAATTCTTAAATATATTCTCGTATATTTTTCTACATTTAGTTAATTTGTGCTAACATAACTAATAATGCTAATTGTTTGCATAATGAAAAAAGAATGTTGCATGTAAGAATTGCTACTATCAGCAATTTTATATCGAATTGAAAATTTTTTGTGGCAACAATCTTTTTTCTAAAAAATTTCTAAAAGAGAAACTTAAATATATAGTTTATTAATTATTAATTGATTATATTAATAGTTGAGAAAATGCCAAATAGTCAGACAAATTTTACTAATTAAGTAATAGGAAAAAAAAAATGAATTGCTATTTTAGTTTATCATTGTTTTTCATTTTTTTCATCAAATTCTTCCCACTCAAATTTTCTATTTTTATTTAGCTTTTTCTTCAATTAATTTACTCATTTCAAATTTCGTTGAAATTTTTCTCTTTTTTTTTTTTTTTCAATTTTCATTACTCTTTTTAATTCAATTTTTTTTTTTTTTTTTGACTTAAAAGCAAAAAGTAAATCAGTTATTCAATTCGTTTTTTTTTTTTCTTTCCGATTTAATATTTAGCAATAAATTAAACTTATTTATATGACAACAAAAAAAAAAAAAAAAACAGAACGAAAGAAAGAAAATGAAATGAAATGAAATGAATAATCATCATCTTACAAAAAATGAAAACTTTGCAAATTCTTACAATTACTCTTTCATATGTGAAAGTAATTTTCGGATGAAAATTGATGACCTGAAATAGAAATTGAGCTTATGCAATTTTTGCCAACAGAAATTGCATTTTTTTTTTTCCATCAAAATTGCATACCTTTAATTGACAGGTAAAAGGATGGAATTGAGTGGATATTGAACAAGAAGAAAGATGAAATACTACTTATGATCGATCTACCTATGTGACAAGAAAAGGTTGGTAAGAATTGAAATCAATGGCAATCAAGGTTATGTAGCAACAAAAAGGAAAGAAAAAATGGAAGAGAGAAAAGTAAAAAAAAAAAAAAAAAAAAAAATGGATGAAGGTCATGAGTAATGATAATTTTCATGCATGCAAATTTATTCATAAAATTTATAACTTTTAATTGAAAATAATTTAATTTACTTAAATTTTTGCTTCCTTTTGCTTCTTCATATTTAATTCATTCGAAATATTTAAGAGGAATTACATGTATCGTTTATATGAATTTTACACAAAATTTTAATTTAATTATCATTTTAAATTTAGCAATTTCTCTTCTTTCTTAGTTTATCATTTATTCAAATTATTTAGTGATAAAATGTATATCTCATTCGTTGTAAGATTGTTTGTTAAATTTTTTTTTTTTTTTTAATTTTATTTAGCTTTGACTTTATTTTCTTTCTATATCATCCTCAAAATATTTTATTAGCTCATAATATGTGCTTCTTTCTTCATAGCCTAAAATATTTTATAATTTCAAATAAATTTTAAGATTAAATTTTTCTTTGCTATAAATTGATATTACTGTTTACTTCATAAACAATTTATATATGTAGTTTACACACTTTTTTTTTTTTTAATTTTACAAAAAATCTGGAATGTTTTATGAATTATAAATATTATTCTCTTAATATATGACTATTTTTTGATTTCATTATTCTATTATATTATTATTAAATTAATGATTACATCAAATTATAATAATAATATACTGCTGTTATTAATATGTTTGAAAATTAAATCTGCAATGCCACATCTGTTCAGGATGAAAGAAAGAAAGAATTACATTAATTATATCATGCAATTATCATATTTATCATCAAATATGAGTACTGACTACGATATTCGTTGTACCATTAAAATAATTGTTTATAAATTTTATCTGAAATTAAATTATTTTATTTGCTGTTTTCGATGTTTTACCTTATCTTATTCATATTTCTTATTGTCATGTATTTTAATATTTCCACAATTTCTCTTTTTTTTTTTAAAAAAAAAAAAATTTAAATTCAGCAATATTTTTGAAAAATGAAATTTTACAATTTTATATAATGTTATCATCATTATCATATCGTTTATCAACAAAAGGTATACTTATTTATCAGATTGACGTTTGAATTTTTTGAAATAAACAATAATATATTACTTCGAGTTGGTCATCTGAATTTTATCTTACGTATCATTGATTGCATTAATTATATTGAATATTATTTATCGATTAAACTAAAGTTTTATTAAGTCAATAAATGATTGCACATTAATAATTTTCTTATGTGATCCAATGTGATTATTAACAAATTCAATTCTTCCTAACAAAGATGAAAATAGGTATAATTTAAGTATGAAATTAATCGTAACACTTATTTACAGTTAATAATGTATATGTGAAAGAGGAAATGTCAGAGATTATATATATATATTATTTATTTATTTATTTAGTAGGTCAAATTCATAGCTGATGACACAATCATCTGTTGTATTGCTTGATGATTATTTGTGATCTTGAAAAGACGAATCATGGATAAGGTACTTGACCTTGAATGAATTGTAAGTGAAAAGTATCACTCTTTCATTTTGGTTTATACCTTTTCATCCGGTGATCCACCTCCTCCTTCTTCTCACTTCTTTCTTCCTTCTTTTATCAATCATACCTAACCAGATCAACCTTGTCCTTCCTTCATTTTCAATTTCTAACTCTTCTTCAATTCATCTCAATCTAAATTTTCATTAAATTTATACCATCCCTTTCAACCCAATCCTTTTCACCATTAATCTCTCTCTCTCTTTTTTTTTTTTTTTTTTGTCCCATCCTTCTTTTCTTCCTTTATCTAAGAAATCATTTGTATTAATTGTTACAATTGTTATTCGTCCTCAAATACCACAACAACAACAATCATCATCATCATCATCATCATCGTCATTGCTATTATCGTCATTTTCTTATAATTGACCATAAAACTGTCACTTTTTGGCACAGCAGTTGAATTTTCAATTCAAAATTTTCAAGACTATGCTCTTCTATTTGGATATTCTGATAATATTACCATTAAACTGTTTCGCTATTACCTACATCGAGAATTCTATCTTAGGTAATTGTTTATTTTCATTTTTTTTTAAATTTATTTTGAAATTACATATGTGATTTTAGTAACGAATCGTTTCACTTTCTTGCAAATGCATGATAATTTGTTACATTTTATCAAGAAATTTTTTCAAATTCTGAATTTTCTGATACACTCATCATTTTTTATTACATTCTTATTCAATTAGCATATAAGTGAATCATAATTTATGATAGTTACATGAGTTAGCAATATGCTTAAATGGTAGCTTCATAAATTGTTTATAAATGATAACATAGTTATGGAAATAAACTAATGATATCTATTACCTAATTTTATTCATTGATTTTATTAATAAACTTTCTTTTTTCGGAATTCAAATATTTATCATGTAGTTGATAAATAAACATATATATATATTTTTTCTTTTTGAAAATATTTATTGAATTGTAGCAGATAAGAATATTAAAGTGAATCAGTTTATTCGATGTAATTCCTAAAACTAAAACTTATTAGTGCAATTTTATACTTAAAATTTTATACTTTTATTGCTTAAAATTAGCAATGAAGTTAATTGACATTTTTCTATTTCATTTATCTTCAAAGCTGATTGAAGTTGAACATTTGAACAAGAAAAATATAAAATGGAAATTTTAAATGACTGAAACAAAGAGAATATAATTTACAAATTTGATGATGCAAAGAAACAAATAAATAGGTATAATAAATGTGATATTTTCAACTTTATAATTTTGATAGTAGCATAGATATAATATAATTTGACAAACAATTATTGCATAACTATTAACTAAGAATTGCTTAGCTATTTGAGATTTTATGATAATATTTTAATAATTCACTAAATTAAAAGTCAATGTGCAAAATTTTCCTCCAACTACAAGGTAACATAATTTTTATTCTTTAACTTCAGATTATTAACAAATTCAAAATTCCGGTTAACCTTAATAAAATTGTCAATTTTCGAAGAATTTGTTTTTAAAATTTATTCTTCAAACATATAATTTATAAGTCCAAACTTATTTCTTTGAAAGGGAAAAAAAAGTTAGGAAAGTCAAAAATCAAACAGTTATCCGACAAATAAATAAATTTTTTTTCTTATTAATGGATCAAATTTATTCGGATAAAAGATTTATGGAAGCCAAAAAAAAAAAAAAGTAGTAATGCGGAAGGACTTCTTTAACCTTGAACTAATTTAAACTTATTTTTTTTTTTTAAAAAAAAAAAAAAGGAAAATGGAAAGAATTGGAAAAAAATTGATTGTCTGCAGCTATTGCTATAAATTTTGGAATGTGCTCTTTGCTACTAAATTTAGATTATAGTTTACAAAAAGAAAAAAAAAAAAAACCTAAAAAAAAACTTTCAACACATATCTGATTGCGACACGAAATTTTTAAAATAATTTCATAAATTTTTGCAAAAAAAAAAGAAAAAAATTCTATACATCAATTATTAATTGTCATTATTATTAATTACATTAGTAAATAATTAATAATGATAATTTGTAAATCACATTGATATAACACAAATATTTAAGTTTGAAGTGAAATATGAAGTGAAAATATAATTAATGCAACTTGAAATTATTGAAATAAAAAATATGTTAGAATGAATGCAACCATATCATTGTTTAACAATTATTTACATGAATAAAAAAAAAAGAAAAAAAAAATATTAATAAATTTTCATCATCATTAATTTATTTACCTTTTTTAATTTTTTTCTTTTTTTTAAAATTTACTTACCTTTTGATTTTCATTTCTTATTTGTAATATATAAAATGTTAGCAAAAAAAAAAAAAAAAAAATGTACACATTGAAATATAAATTGTTCATTGTAATTTGTATATTTTATATTATACAAATAGGAGGAAGTGAATATTATTTGATATGAAATGAAAAGTCTTAAAAGTGGACAATTTATTGTATTACTAATTGTTGTAGCATTAAATGGGTTTCTATTATTAGTGAAAGATTTATTGCCATTCGTTATTGCTTTATTACTAAATGGCAAGGTTATGGGAATTATTGATACAATATGATCGTTATAGTTTTGTTGTAACAAATTTTACCATTTTGGCATTTATAACTTTCAAATTCATTTAAAAATATTTACAAAAGTTAATTGGTGAGAGAAAAAAAAAAAAAAAAACGAAACTAAATGGAAAAAATAAAAGAAAAAAGAAAATAAAATTAATAAATTAAATAACATTTTTGTTATCTGTTGATAAATTCATTTAGCATTTTCTTTTTTAATTAAATTTTATGAATTTATTATTGTTTATAATTAAACTAGTGAGATTATTTTGAGCAAAAAAAAAAAAAAAGAAAGAAAGCATCATTCTTCTTTAGTCAAATTTTAAATTTTAATATGATAGAAATTATAAAACAAATTCCGATTAAAAATTTAAATTCAAAGAATGATTGTAATTTTTTGTTTTTGCTATAAAAATGTTGAACATATTGTTGTAATATCAAAATGATATGCAAAAAAAAAAAAAAAAAGAAAAGAAAAAAAAAACGATGAATTAAAAATTTTTTATGAAGGGTATCCGTTTTTAATTTAATTTAATTTAATCTAAATTAATTTTAATTTCAAATATTTTTTCATTTCATTTAACTTAGGTGTACCAAAGGTATCATGCGAAGAAAGTGATTTATCATTGGATGTGATAACAGCGCAACCATTTCATGGTAATATATTTGTTAAAGGACGAGCAAAAGATTCCTCATGCAAGCAATCATATAATTATAATAGTTCTAATTCATATACATTATCACTTGGTGAATGTGGCATGCAACGTTTGCGCTCAGTTAGTTTTATCAATATCATTGCATCATTTTCATTTTTCATTTTTAATTTTTTTTTTTTTTTTTTTGCTAATATAACTTATTAATGAATATTAATTGAATTATTTGAATAATTTTTTTTTTTTTTGAAATAAAATAAATATATTTATATAAGAAATTTTTCAGTTTCAATTATCATCAGAAAATTTTACTTAGTAATTTAACAAATGTTAATATTTTTTTTTTTTTTTTTTTTTTTTTAAAATAAAACACTTAGAAACTACTTCAAATTTTGTATATGTGATGCTTTTTTAAATTAATAAAATTGAATATATATATATTTTGTAGTTTAAATAAATTTTAATTATCAAGTTATGCTGATAAATTTTTGAACTTGCTATATCTTATCATCATTCTTCATTTTAAAAATAGACCCAATGATTAATCATAATAAAATTGATCCATGTGGGATTAATTTTATTGCAACAATAACTATTATCAATAAGTGTCACAGTTTTAATAATCATTTTATATTGATGGTTTGAGAAGAAAAAAAAAAAAAAAAAACTTAAAAACTTCAATAACAAAATTATAATGATATGATTATTTCAGATTAATCCACGTGGGATTAATTTTATTGTAACAGTAATCGTTTCATTTCATCCAGCTGGTTTCATCACTAAAAATGATCGAGCATTTCATGTAAAATGCTTTTATCTGGAACCGGACACGATTGTTACATCAGCTCTTAACATCAGGTAAATTTTAAATTAAATTTTCACCACTGTTTTTTAATATCAAATTAATTTTGATATTATAAAATAATTGAAATTTTTTCAAACTAAAATTTATTTTAGATCTAAATTTTTCATGAATTATTTCTGTCATTGGCCAAATTTGAGTAAAACATTAAAAAAAAAAAAAAAATTGCAAATTATTGCAAAATTTGAACTATTAACTCTTCGCATTCAAATAAAATTTTGAAAATTTCATCAAGTGCACAAATATTTATGTAAATTTTACTGTAATCGTAATTTTTTGGTTTTGGATTCTCTTTCGATTTAATTTAACTGTATAAAATAATTTTCACATCATATTCTTTCAATTATTCTTGACATTACAAAAATATTTTTGAATCTTTGAATCAAAATAAAATTTTTGAATCAAAATCAAATCTTTGAATCAAAATAAAATTTGAAAAATTCCAAATGAAGTATGTTTATTTCAAGTTTATTCATACTTCATTTATTCCTAACCACAAATTTGATGTCATATAATTTTGTCACCATAGTTGTTGACAATTTGTTTCTGTTATTGATATCTACTGATCAAATATTTTAGTCCATTGGTGACTACAGAATTACGAGATAGTTTGAAGTTACCAACGTGTGAGTACACCGTACGACGTGATGGTATTAATGGGCCACAACTTACATTTGCAAATGTTGGTGAAACGGTACGTTTTATTAAAATTTCGAAAAGGATTGCAAAAAAAAAAAAAAAAAAAAAAGAAAAAGTTAATTTATTAAAGAATTCAATTTTTAAAAATCAAATTATAATTAGCTTAAACTGTAACAGATTTAGAAAAAAAAAATTTAATTTTATTTAATAAGTGAAAATAAATGCTGGTTTACCATCAGATTTTTTTTCTTTGTTTTTATTCAATAATTTATTAGTTCATTTATTAATGAAAATGTGAAACAAAAACTAAAAAAAAAACTAGGAGATATATTAAAAAGTGCACTTTATTTTAATCATAGTCATATTTAATAATCGATTATTTCTTAATTACATCTAACAAAGCAATATTATATTCTTATTTCATTTTAACTTTATTGTTTTTGATAGATTAGTTTATTTATCTATTATGCAAAAATATTCATTCAGGTTTTTGCTTGAAAATAAAGGAACAATGCTAATTATGTTTGCTAGCACAATACCATATCTAATATAATTAATTAGCAAATATCAAATATACTACTAAATAATGAATATTTTTAATATTTTTAAAGGTATTCCATGTTTGGGTATGTGATGGCGTTGGTATGGGAATGCTTGTTAAAAAATGTTTTGTAACGGATGGCGAAAGCACTGATCATTCTGTTTTAGATTCTGATGGGTATAGCTATGCTTAATTGAAAAATTAATAAATTATTCAAAAATAAACAGTTGAAATTTTACAAATCTTTACTGAAAATAAAATATTCATTAAATGGAAAATTGATTAATTTTTTTGTAAAATTAAATGTTGTAATTTTTAGCTGTTCATTAGATAATTTTTTGTTGGGTGAGCTAGTATATGATTCATCGCTAATGAAAGCATATGCTCAAAGTCAAGTATTCAAATATGCTGATAGTAATCGATTATTTTTCACCTGTCAAATTCAATTATGTCAAAAAGCGATGGGTTATTGTGATGGAATTTCGGTAAGTAAGCAATGATTATTAATACTCTATACAATATTAGAAATTATTCATCTTACAAAAAATAAATTATCTACAAGAAAAAAGAAATTATTTTAGATTAATTCATAAAAAACTTCAAAAAAATAAAATAAAATAAATTAATAAAAAGAGACTGTAAATGATACTAACATTTGATTAGTAATATTTGCTGATTAATGGATGTGTTTTATTTTTAGCCACCAAAATGTTCGGACGAAGCAGCTGCTACAGAAAAGCGCAATCGTCGTTCAATTTCTCACCCGAAACCGCCATCTAATACGGTTGGTCAATCAGATAGTGGCATTCTTGAAATGGATGTTACTTCGTCCGAAATGCTTATTGGTGGAATTGATGATATGCTAATTGAAACACCTTCTTCGTGCTATTCACCATTTCTTGTTGCGCTCTCCAATTTTGTTCTTTTCACTTTAGCTACAATTCTTTTGGCTATTGTTATAGCAATGAAAAAAGAATCGCGGAAAACATTCATTTGTACAATATATTTTTATTAGAAATGTCAAACTATTAATGTAAAAGATAGACTTATTCAGTCATTATGTAATTAGCATTAATTAATTACTTTAATGTTTATCTTATAATTTCATAGTAGTAACAGAGACATTTCGAAATATAAATTAATAATAATAATTAAATATATATAAGTAACAATAATAATTAATAATAATAATGGAAGAGCAATAATAATAATGATAATTAATAATGATAACAATGATATCATTAGTAATGAAAATAATAATAGCTGGTAATAATAATAATATTAACAGTAATAAGCAATAATAAATAATAATAATGATAATAATACTAATACTAATGCTAATTACAATAATTAATAATAATTAACAATAACGATAATAATTAACAATAATAATAATAATGATAATAATAATAAATAATGATAATAATAATAATAATTTATCACAAAGTGATGACAAAAAAAAAAAAAAATTAAATGTTATAAATAAGTTTACAATTTTTTTCACTTTTATGATACTTTCACCAAATATCACAATCACAAAATGTTCCTTTTTTCTTTATAATTTCATGAGAAATTGGTAATTTGAAGAAAAATAAAAGTATATCGAAAACATCATCCATATTTGTTTATCAGTGGTTTAATTAATTGATAATATCGGATAATAAGGCATCACTTCATGATAATTTATTAACATTGTAGAATTTCTACTATTTATTTTCAAATCCTTTTTCATACTAAAATATTTGTGACTTATTATTATTATTATTATTATTATTGTATGTTTTTATATGCAAACTTGGTAAAATATTAAAAAAACATTCCATTTGTTGTTTCATATTTTTCTATTTCATTCATTTTGTTACTGTAAAATATTTTTGATATAGAAATTAAATTTTTGTTTCATTCAAATTTTATTTTTCTTTGTCATAAATATTTTAAACAAATTTTTAAAAATATTGTTTGTTGGTATAAAATGTTAAACTGTTTATGAGTATTCATTTTTTTTTTTTTTTTTTTTCACTACAATTACACATAAAGGAGCGGTTGATTTAAAGTTTAATTATTATCCACATCAAGATAAAAAATTATTAAAGGGTGATAAATGTATTTAGTATAGATGGAATAAATTTTTGATTTGGAGGTTTTTTTTTTTTTCTTTTTTCTGGAAATCACTAATTAATATATATGAAAGTTTTTACAGAGCAAAAGTAAAGAATATTCCAACTTAAAACGAATAAATAATTTTTCTTTCCTTTTTTCTTCTTTTTTTTTTTTTTTTTGGTTCTGTTTCTCTCAGTAAATCAGTAGATTTTAAAAATTTGCTCTTAATTTTAAAATGTAGTAATAATTTATTTATTAAATCTAAAAATGGTCAACTGCCTGTTAGTAATTTGAAAAAAATACTAGTGTATTTTAAAATTAATTAGTCATGATAATTCAATAAACCATTATAATAAGAAAATTCCAAGTTAAATAATTTAGGTACAAGAAAGAAAGACTTTACAAAAAAAAAAAAAAAAGTCTTTCTTGAACTATTTCAAATCGAGTGAACTATTTTAATGTTAGACACACAAGATCAAATGTATACAAACAAAGTATGTTTAACAACTAACAGATCAGATTTTTTTTTTTTTTTTAAAATCAAAACATTATCATAACTTTTAAAAACAATATCTTTACACATTTTTATGTGATAAACAAATAACTTCGTAAAATTTTAAATTCAAAAATTCAATATTTTTCGCAAATTATCTGTTACTAGAATTTCAATTAAGTTCCAATTTTTGTTTCACAAACTCATCTTCAAATCGATCGAGACCAATAGAATTTTTGAACTTGTTTGTAAGCATACTTTCTTCTTTTTTTGTAAAGGAAAAGATAAGTGTTCAATTATAATATCTATTTCAGTTCATAAGCAAAAAATTGTTGAAAAAAAAATTGAAATACTTTGATAATGTTTTTAGCTAATTTATGTTTTATTCTCAAGGTTTGCTAAGAAAGAAGATGTTGGCCAAATATGCAAAACGGAAAGGATTGAATTTAGTTGAAAGTATAAATAAAATGAGTGAAATTTTTTGATAATTTAAAAAAATAAAAAAATCAATAAATCTTTTTGTTTCTTTTAATTAATGTTTAATGTCGATTCTACAGCCATCTGAAAATAACTCAATCATATTTGCATCATCATTTGGCGCTGGTGCATTTGCAGGAATGCTTGCTAAATCGTTTGTCGCACCTTTGGAAAGAGCAAAGATTCATTTTCAAGGTAAACAAACAAAAGTAACATTTAATAAACAAACAACAAAACTAAAACTTTTGTCTAACTACAAATATATGTATTAAATAAAATTGATAAAATTCGCATAAATTTATTCGAACTTTGTTATTTAGCCAATCATTATTAGATTTATATTTATGAATTAATTAATGTCTTCAAAAATCAAAAATGGGAAGCAATTTTAAAGTTTTAGACCGACAAACGTTGATTTTTACCTTCGAATAACAAACTTTTCTTTTTCCATTTATACAAATATAATTAAGAAAAGCATATCATCTTATTCATACAACTATCAAATTTTAAAGCAAATAAATTAAATGTATAAAAGAATAAAAATTCATACAACTATCAAATTTTAAAGCAAATAAATTAAATGTATAAAAGAATAAAAATATTCATACAACTATCAAATTTTAAAGCAAATAAATTAAATGTATAAAAATATCAAATTTTAAAGCAAATAAATTAAATGTATAAAAGAATAAAAATCATTTCCAAAAAAAAAAGGAATAAAAAATTTTTCAACGAATTTTTCATTTGGATTAACAGCAATAATTATTATCGTTCTAATGATATTAATTATAATAATCATTAAGTATTATTAGCAAAACTATTATTATGACTGTTGTAATCGTTACTACATTTACTACTACTACTACTACTACTATCACTATTAATAATACTTATTATCATTATAGTATCATCAACAACTCATTATTCATTATTTGAAGCAGCAAAATTCTTGAAATTATCATATCAGGAAAATGGATTATTTTCACTTTGGCGTGGTAATTCAGCAACATTATTCCGAGTGATACCATACGCTGCAATACAATTTGCATCGTATGAACAGTACAAATCAATACTTCGTGTTGATTATAATGGGTAAAATAAATGAATAAAAAAATTTGGAATAATTGAATACGTATTCAATGAGAATAATTTTAATAATTCATTTTAGTTTTTTTTTTTTTTTTTTTCTTAAATACTAAAATTTCATAGTTTTTTGTCGAATTTTTTTTTTTAGGAATTTTTTCTTTCTTCTTTGAAAGAATAGAAAATGATAATATTAATTATTAAATAGCATAAAAATAATTTTTTTTTTTTTTTTTAACAATTAATTTGAATTACTCTATTAACTTATATAGATAGAACATTAATTGAATTTTTGATTTAAAAGAAAAATTGTGCAACAATTCATTTGTTGCTGTCAATTTTAGAAAACGTACACCTGTACGACGATTATTAGCTGGTTCATTAGGTGGTATTACTGCTACCTTAATTGTTTATCCATTGGATACGGCAAGAACTCGACTAGCTTCATCAAAATATTCTGAATATACCAATCTGCGATCAGTTTTTTATAAAATGTATACCAGAGAAGGAATTCGGTATAAAATCGTAAACTTTCAATATAGAAATTTTCGAAGTTTTTTTTTTTTTTTTTTTTTTTGATTCATAATTTTATTTGATTGTTTGATTTATTCATTGCTCAATAAGACAAGCATTACATTAATATACACACATAAAATATATGACTATTTGATATTGTTTGAACCAAAAGTTATTCTTCATAATTTTTTTTTTTTTTTAGCAAACTAAGAATAAATCGTTTCATAACTTTTAAAGTTTATTGAATTAATTTCTAAATTCTAATGGTAGGGATGATTTTTAATTATTTTATTTCTACTAACTAATTGTCAATATAAGCTTAGGGATGCCCATGAAGTGTTAAATTATTGCAAATGGTAAATAATGTTGAAGGTCATTTTATTACGGAATAATACCATCTTTATTTGGTATCATGGTTTATGCTGGTGGTAGTTTCTATACATTTGGTACACTTAAACTTCTTCATCGAGGTATCATTGTTATTGAAACCATTAATGGAATTACAAATGAACCATTTTATTAGTGACAAATAAGTTTATAATAATATTAAGATATTGATCATAATTTCTATCTTTGGGACTTTTCGTATAAAAGAACGTATTTATTATAATATTAAAAGTTTTAATCTCTTTGCTAAAAATGATACAAAATTTGAAAGAAATAAAGAAAGATGAATGTTGTCCATTAATTCATTTGAATTGTTGTCACACTTCAAGAATCTTGAATTTTTACAAATATAACATTTCAATTCATAAGCTAGTTATAGAACGTTGGAATGAACCAGTACCACCTTATCATCGACTTATTTATGGTGCCATTTCGGGTGCAGTTGGTCAATTTATATCGTATCCTATAGATATTGTTCGTCGACGAATGCAAACGGGTCGAGTACCATTAAAACATTATGCATTTCATATACTTTACGATATTTACCGCAATGAGGGAATCTGGAATGGTTTATATAAGGGGATAAGCATGAATTGGATTAAGGTATGGGAGAAACACATGAAAAATCATTGGTACAACTTAACTTATACTTAACTTAACTTATTATCTTGAACTGAACAGCTTATATTATATTCATTTCATTCAATTATTTAAATAATTTTTAAAGATTCAATCTAACTTATATGTAGGATTAAAGACAGTTAGATAACTGATTAAGAATCATTATATAGTTATCGACAGTTCTTAACAACCAATAATCTGAGTAAACAAAAAAAGTATATACAGGTAGTATTATGATTCGCTCATCTTAATCAATGTCAAAAGTTTGATTTACCGAAATTTATATCGAAATAGGAATTGGATAGTAGTAACATATAATTGTAGTCATGTTAAGTTATAAGTAATTGTAACATAACCATAAGTAATTATAACTAGTTGTCTCTTATTAAAGTCAAGTAACAAATACAGCTATGACTTTGGAAGTTCTCAGCGTGAAAACGTTTTCAGGGACCTATAACAGTATCTATCAGTTTCACCGTTTATGACTATACCTTTTTGTATTTGCTGGATAAATTGCGGACGAAACCGTGAATTTTAATTATGACTTTATCAAATAAAAATTAAGTTTTAATAGTATTGTGCGAAAGAAATTGCAGTCCTCGGGTAACGAATAACTTCCAAAGTTAATAGAACAATGGGATATGGCAAAGATAAAAATGGGTAAAGTAGCAATTATTGATAAATGATATGTTCAGCAATTGAATTTCAGATAATCTTTCAGATAATCTAGATTAAACATCGGCGAAGTTATAGTTTTGACACATATGTACTGATAGTTTATAATCAAACAAGCTGCCAAATCTAAAACTAGTCTATGCAGACTGAACTAAATATGCAAACTAATAATCTACGAAAAGCTTGAATTGAATTAACTTGAGAAATATCTCAATTTATTACGAACACAATTTCTCGACAAGATCTTAGATTCTACAATGAAACTCAATTTTCGGTAAAAATAATAAAAAACTTTATATCATGTTATCACTGGGCTTGAGAGGAATACGATAATGATTAATAAAAGTTTTTTTATTTAAAAAAAACGTCCTTAAATTATGATCAAAAGACATATTATGTGGCACATACACCAGTTGTACAAGATAATGAACTGACTATATTATATTAGTATGGAAAGAATGAGCAAAATTTGAAGCAAAAAAAAATTGTTTGTTCAAAGAATCAAGCAAAGTATTAAAATTGAGAGATCGTTATAGATTATCAAAACATCACAGTTTTCTATGGCACACCAAACAGACTGAATTCATTTTTAAGGATAAAGAACTGATGACAAAATTTTCAGCTCCACAAAAAAAAAAAAAAAGAAAATGAGAGAAAAAGACATCATTACGCCTACTAAATGTTTCTGGCTAAGTCTCATTGTTTCAGAATTGAAGTACACGAAGTCTTTGCTTTCGTAACCATTTTCTGCGAGACATTAAACGAGAAATAGAAGTAACATTAGAGCTATATAAAACTACATATGAAAGTTAGTAAATCAAATTAACTACATTAACTACATGAAAAAATGAAATCAACTAGAATTTACATCAAACAGTAAGGAAATGAAAATGCTTTTACATTAACAATGATAACCTCGAAAATATGAAACCTATGCATTTCCATTATCTTTAAATATCACGCTACAAAAGGTGCTTATAGATCGGGTGAATTGGAAGATAACTATGAGCAGATAAAGCATACAAGAAACAAAATGAAATTTTTAATTTTCATTTTCATGACAACTCAAAAATTCTTCCAATGCAACTTCCTCTAAACGTTCTTTTTCTAAATTAGATTGATTTCGCAATGGCAATTCACCTGAAAAAAAAATCGAAAAATAAGAAAAAAAGAAACATAAATCGAACAAATCAGTATGTAGTGAATATTACTTGATGAAAAATCTGTTACAACACAACAATAGGCGGCAAAGGATCTACCACAACTGTGGAATCCACACAGACAAGCAACTCATTTGCCAAATTTTCTGTTTCTTCCTGAACATAACTTTAATGTTCATTGGTAACGGTTATTTAATTGAATTCAAATAAGATATAAAAAACATTCAGGAGATAAAAGTATTCGATTCAATGACCAACAATATTTTTCGAGAGGTTAAAACTTACTCGACGTGTCATGAAATAAACTTCTTTGCAAAATTCACTTCACTAATTATTAATATATGTTGTCAACTATCGTGATCAAAACTTCAATAATATCAATTTTAGACACACTATTAGGAAATAGCTAAGGAAAAGCGGAAAAAGTAAGGCTGAAATAATTGCATCAGCAATCCGAGACATATTAAAAAGTGTGGGAAAATTCACAACAACAAATGAAAATAAATAACGAACTTTGATTCAGTGCCATCGGTGAATGACCAACCTCCAGAATATTATTGGAAAACTTCAGAAAATTACTGATTTTTGCTTTCTCCTTTCTCAAATCATTTTTCATGGAAGCAATATCTGTTTCAGCATCAGCAATGATTTGCAATGCCTCCAAATGTGTCATTGCTATTTCTGTTTGTAAACAGAATCGACTCAGTTTACTAATTTTATTATTTAAATCAACCAGTTCCTGAAAAAATATATCCAATTCTATGTCAAAAAAAGTATTGTACCAAACAAAATTAGCAAAAGAACACATTTCTGAGTTCAAAAAAAGGATATTTATATAAAATATAAATAAATGAAGCGCTTCCGAATCATTCCTAATCATCCTGTCTAACCAGTTAAACCTTTGCTAATTTTTTCCACATTTAAAATAAAATATGTAAAAAATCTATCAAAACTAGTAATCTTTTATTAAGGTTGTTTTATTATACAAACCTTTGTTGTTTCACTTAATGTACGTAAATGGTTATGACAGGCCAAAATAACTTCAGCACGTTCGTTACACATCTGCTGCGCTCGTCCCATACGGGTACTGCACAAATTTGCCAAACGTATATTTTCATCATTTATTTGCTCCATTGTTTCGATGCTTAGTTGATACCTTTAAAAAAAATAGAAATGCTGTTAAATCAATAAAAATCTTGCAGTTTCCATTTTCAGTGATTCCTAAATAGCTTCTGACGTCAACAAAGATAAAGTAAATAAATAAAACTTCCTATTAACTGCAAAAATGTCACAAAACATATAATAGCACTATCGATTTTCTATTGAAAATTATCGTTTTTGGCAATAACAATTACTGTACAAGTTCATTCGTTACAAAAAGTTGCATATATTTTGTTAGACCTCAAGAACTCCATCATAAACCAGTCAAACCCACCTATTTGAAAGTATTGCATGGAAATTCTTCATCAAGAAAAAAGACATACTTCAACAGTAGATTGCTTCCGGCCTGTGTTTTCAAAAGAGATGCAATCGCTTCTGATGAGCTCCTGAAAGGTAACAAAAAGTTACAAAGACCTGACATCATAAAATTGAATTCATGAATTACTTAAGATAAAAAGAGATGGGCAGCTAAAATGACCAGTAACTGATTTTATTAAATCACCTCATTTAAAAATTGAAAATTCAAACTAAAGAACAACAACAACCTTTGTACAGCGGACGATGTGGCGTTTCGCAGCTTTTGCACACTTCAAAAACAAATAAAATGAGAACTTTCATCAAAAAACCTAGTCCCAAAAAATAGATCAATTTTCATCCACTTGCATGCAAATAAAAATTATTGCAAAGAAAACAAAGAATTCAATTTTACTATCTTATCCAAAAAAAATCTGCTCTATTCAGAAACGATTTAGACATCTTTGTTTCGGGCATAGTAATAAAGCCAAAATTTAATAAGATAAAATATGAGCGAATAATATAAACCTGCTTGTGAGCTCATTTTGTACGGTCACCAATGCATCAAAAATACTTCCAAGCATCTGAAAATACTCAAAAATCATACGTACAATAGTTCACGGCTCCGTTCTCACAATATGTACTCCTCCATCATCCCTCTATTTGTTGAATTCCCTTGCCCATGTCATCCTCCCCTTACCCCCACAAACTTCCCTCAATCTCCCCTGAAATCATATCACACTTCTGACACTTTGCATTAGAAGGCTAATATTCACAAAAATAACACGGATCTGAAGTGAAAATCATTATTTCTACGATTAACATTCCTTCAATGACCGATGTCCTTTACTCTTAGTATACATTTTTTCTAATATACATTTTCTCATCTTAGTCTCCGCACAGAAATACCCGCTTTCAACAGTTTCACATTTATCGCTGATTTTTACCATCGCTGATATTTGTATTCTTACGGCGTTGGTAATGCAGAACATTACGAAAATTCTTTCCTTAATGTCAGCTTTATTCTAAAATACTCAGTTACCACAGTTTGGCTAATTACGACGAACTAAACTAATATCAAGTTCATTTTTTATACAAGAAGAACAGTCTCAAAAAAAAAAAATTCTCTCTCTTTTCATAAAAAATATACAACATCGATGTAGCGCAGCACACTAATATAAAAAAACTATTTACATGTCCACAACCCTGTTAACTCCGGAGTAATTTTTAAAAATAAAAATAGTAAAAAAAATTTATTAAATTCCATCCCCAAGAAAATATTAGTAAAAAACAAAAAAAAAATCAAATACTAAAACAAAATTTCCGAAGACTTATCTTTGTAATATTACAATCAATAATTTTTAATAAAAAAAATAATTCAAATAAAATATAAACAAAAAAATTGCTAAAAACTCCATTCATACTTGAAAACAATAAAAAAACAAATCACTTACGCTACTTTGATGCCATCACGCTAAAGTTACCACTTAAAAACCACAGAGCAGAAGACAACTTAAAAAAAAAAAAAAAAAAAAGAAGCCTACATTTTTAATAAACATTTAACAACAAATCTAGTTCAAAAATAAAACTAGAAAACAAAAATAAATTAATTAAAAAAGAAAAATTTTTAAGCAAAACTGATTCCCTCCATTCTCTCATGTGACTGCCACCTATTCAACCATTCATCAGATTACTGGAAGGAAAAAGCATCGCGCGTATATCTTTGAATATAAAATCACTGTATCGATGCTTCAGCATTACCCAAAATTTATTGGATTGTGAGATAACAATGTGATATGATTGATCCATAAAAGCAAAGGAAAAATGGCATATTTTCTCTGTTTGATTTATGCTTTCATTAATTAATGTATGCTATTATAGTGGAAGATGTCTACGACCATACCACGTTGAAAGCACGACATCTCGTCCGATCTGTCAAGTTAAGCAACGTTGGGCCTGGTTAGTACTTGGATCGGAGACGGCCTGGGAATCCCAGGTGTTGTAGACATATTTTTGGTGTTTTTTAGCCATGCATTAAATGCAATAATACAGTGATGAAATAATGGATCATAGTTTGATCTGTTTGCCGAAAAATAATCAGCTGAATGTTGAATGCATAACAACTATATGACAATGATGCAGGTATGGTCGGCGGTTTAATTACCCAAGTTTGAGGTAATTGGATGTTTCGGCCCAGAGTTTAGGCTACTGTGGCTTGAAGTAAAATTTTGGAACGTCCTGCATATTTGTGGGACAATAATAAATGCTTTTAGCAAGAATGAGATTTTGCTCAGGTTTTATCATTTGTATAAAATAAATATATCATCTATCTATATTACTTACTTTGAATGCATGAAGATCGAAATTTTTCTCTGTTTGCAAAATTCAGAAATCAAAAATCGGTTTCAAATCGGTATTTACATTAAATTCCCATCTCTGCATCGTTTGTATAGATCATGATTTGTATAGATCATGATCTCATTTTGCTATCCAAAATTATGCTTCAACCCACAGTACTCGAAATTCTTAACCGAAACATTCGGTTATTTTAAACCTACTATATAATCACTTAGTGTAAATCGCTTTTTTTTTTCGTATGGTTTACATTCATTGCGAAATTTTTGAACTTATCATTAACAGTGCTTAAATGTGAGATACAATTTACCAAAAATCGATTATGGCAGAACAGATTCTGTTTCCGTCATTAATTTTTAAAATTTTTAGGCTTACTGTTCAGAAAAATATGCTGTCAAATTATGCTTCCAACAAGTTGTTCGGATAATTATGATTGTTTACTTCAATGTAGCTAATAACTTACTTTTCAATGATAGAACAGATTCCGTTATTTGTTTAATTTTATTGTTTTAAAATTTCTGTTCCATTTTTATTTTCGCTTGATAATTACAGTATTCAGTATATTCAACGCTTACTTTTTTGAGATATTTATAAATAGAATCAACAGAAAGTATTAACACTAAAGATAACAATACAAAGGCGAATGAGCAATAACACTGCGACATTTTCACTCAGAGTCATAAAAGAATAAGGAAAAACTTTCATCTTTCTGCAAAAATGTCGCAGTTTCCCCAAATTATGTTATTTAGGATCGGTATGCCGTCAATACAACAGTTGTTTCATTCTTTTGTCTAAATAAAGGATGTTCGATACGAATAAAGATTATAATATTCCCCATACGGCACTGTCACCAGCTAGTTACACAAAACATTGGACGGAATATTCTGCTCTCGAATCGAAGAAGCGCTATTGACTACCAGCACGTCTTCAAGTGTTCATTAGTCGTTGTGAGACATTCGATGTTTTATAATGTTCAGCTCTTTGAGATGTCACACGTTTTATCGGAGGATTTGATTTCTTTTCATTGGCTTTTTTGTTTTTCACACTGAAATATTTAGTGGAAATGGGAGGTCATTTGTGTGTGTTGAACTGAAGGCTGTTTAATACCATCGAAATTAAATGCTAATCATTTAGAGTTCAGTCAGTTGATTACCTGTTGTATTGTATGAAAGATTCAGCTCTTTCTTCTGGAGGAATTTTGCCAACTAGTTTCTTGTTTCGTGGTGAACTGTTCCAAGAGTATTTGGAAGAATGAAGTGGTTCCGACCAATTTCCATATTCAGTCTAGAAAAAAAATAACAGAAAAGAAAAATTTTTTTAATTAAGCTTGAGTTACTTTTTTTTTTTTTCGTTTTTGTTCTAATAGCTTTCTGTTTTAATCCCGAACAATGAGACATTTCTTGGAAATTTATAAACAAACTCGGATTATAAAATTTACCGCAATAACATCCAACGCATTGCATGGAACATACATCAAATAACCGAGCAGATCGGTTGCACAAGTTCGATTAATCAACGGATAAATAAACCTCAAATCTTACTAAATGTTAATTTGCACACAAAACTTCTGGAGACAGATTAGTTAGTGGTAGAGTTAAAGAGAAATTTGTAAATACTTGCCTGTACTTGGTTGCACCAGATAGACCTCCAATCCAGGAACTGTTTTGATCATGATATAAAAAGAAAATATCCATTGGAATGCCATTCTCTATGTACACTTTGTATTCCAATAAGTCTTCCGGCTGCAAAAATCCGAAATTTGAATGCTAAATTGGAATAAAATGAATTAATACGCAAACCTTATTTGCTAGCAATATGAAATTTCTGGCTAATCAATTACTTTATTACTTACTTATCTTTTTTTTTTATTTCTATGAACGTAGAGTTTTAACTCACTTTGTTGAACCGCAGACTAAGCTCGATAAACGAACTATTCATAACATCATCAGGAAATTTGTCATAGTGTTCCTCGATGAAAACCGTAAAGTCGATGTCATGTGTATATGTTATAATACCACACTCTCGATACCAACCTAAATTTATATCAGTAAAAATTTTCCATAATAAACAAAACAATACAAAAGAAAATTTTCTTATGATTTTTCAAGTGCGATTTCTGCCATAAATTTCATTCAGTCACATTAGACTTGATGAAGCTGAGTCTTCTTCTATGTTGCTTTTGAGTTAATCACTACATTGAAGTCCTAGGACAACACACCAGAAAAGTTAGTAAAATTCAAGTTACTGACTTCCAGAAAGTTGATTTTAGCAGAATCCATCTTCAAGCCTTAACTACTCCTTTGGAAGGCTTTGGGTAAAATGTAATCGGTCTGCTTGCAGCTATAATTACTTCCTAGATGATTAAAAGAACAAGACTTCGAAGGCAAATTTTAAAGAACTTTCAGGAAGATACTATGGATGCAATGGCTTTATCATAACTTTAAACATCTCACATATCCTTCATAAATTGGTCAACGATAACAACTGCTCTGCTTATCTTTTAGAAGCTCCCTATGAACATTCTATTCATATTTTATCTGCTATTCCAAGCACTAACAACGCCATATGCAAGTAAACTGTGATGAAAAATTAAGCCCTAGTAATATTAATTTCTCTTGAAATTTTCAGAAATTGCTATCGGTCGCAGTTTCGAAAATAAATAAACAAATATGCTTATTAAGTTCTTATGACTTTATAAATTACCAAGCAGTGTGCCGGCATGTAGCATCGGTGTCATACCACGCTCAATCGCCCAGTTGCGGAACCTCTGAAGTGTCAATATGATCCCATTTTGAATTCGAGGTTTTCCACTGAAGAACTGAGGGTAAGTTTGGCGGTACCGTGCTGCGAAATCTTTCTCACAGCTGATAAATCTACTGCGCTGTAAGGTCCACACAAATCTGATCCAGTCAGCCGGACCTACGAAACTTTCATTCTCCATCCTGTATTTCACAACAGCAAATCTGAAATTCAATCTTCTCAATCAAAATCTTCATTCTGCTGATGGATGATGCTGTTACATGTCTAGAAATATTGAAAATTTGAATTGATTTTGAAAAAATAACTTAAAATTATCTGGAAATAGTTAGCAAATTCAATAATGAATTACTTTGGTATGATTCTTTTAACCTTCCTCAAAATAAATTCGATGTAATCTTCGCTTTTCGATAAACTGAACGGTATTAGTCGATGAGAAATTCCATCGATTATTATTTCAAAGCTTTGATCA